GTTGGTAAGCTGTCTTGTTGCAACTGACGAACTGAAACAAACGAGCGTGCTGTGTGTGCAACAGCGTGACAAACATTACCTGTCCTTTTATTAACTGCACAAGTAGTGCTGGTCATAGCTGCTGGCTACCTGTGTAAGGCTGTCATGGGTCTGTAGCTCTGTCACCGTTTTAGGGAACATATTTAGTTTTAAAGTAAGTTACAGAGCATTTCCTGCCTTTCTGGGGGGATTATATTTCACTAACGATCTAATATGCATGTCCACATAATTATTATTATAATCATAATATATTAAAAACACACGCTGTATTTTAAAGAACATACTTTAAGAAGCAGATTATATTAGATTTATGTTTTAAATAAGACAAAAATTGGATGTTACAGCAGTAACATTATTGTATCTCTACAGTTTAAAAGTGTAATAAGCTTTGCCCTGCACAGAGTGGATAGTGAAACAAATGGAATCATCATAAATACATTATTTCATATTTATTACTTCCCCCTACTCATTGCTTTATTATTGTAGCTCTAGTAATAAATAATAATGTAAGGATTCTGGATCAGCACCATGATGCCCATAGTATATACAGTATTCTGAAGAAGGTCTAAAATGTCATTGTGTGTGCGTGCATGTGTGTGTTTTATTTAGATGGATTTTTAAAAAAAAATATTACTCATGATATAACATTGTCCAGACATGGCTGGTAAGGACATGAGGAGGAAACAGTAGGAGCTGTGTGAGGCTACTAAAGGCAGTGCTATAACATTTTTCTGTCATCATTTTATTATAGATTAAGTGCTGGAGTTGTTAGGTGTGGATAATTAGATTATAGTTTATTGCAATAGCAAGTTGTGCCTTGTTCTCAGATAGACAGCAAGTGGAGAGTGATATATGAAATGATGGAAGGAAGAAGAGAAGCAAAGAGTGATTCACAGGCAGAGCCTAAATTATTTCTCACAGATTTTTGTTGCCTTATGGTTCCAAGCGCTGTCACCAATCTTTGCATTTTGTTATTATCTCATGACACTTGTTTAATCAGCTACCATCTCTCCTGTGGACTTTTTAATGCCTACAGTCTCAGATCAACACAGCCCTGCCCTCCAGCACTATCAGCAGCAGGAGCAGCAGAAACACCTCAACAGCAACATTGTACCCATCAGGTAAAACATAGGCTACGTTTGCTTTGCCTTGTTGCCCATATTAGATTCTTGATGAATGTGTGTTGTTGTTATTCAGCCTGGTTCAATGTGCCCCTTTTTAACTTTGAGCACCCGCCCCTTTAAACGTCTCTGCACGGCCCTGGATCTACATGTAAATCATTTGCAGCTGTTCAGTGATCATGGGGAGTGGCACATGCGGCAGTTTGCTGTAGTAGCTGAGCCCAGTGCCAGACAAAGTGTCAGCCTGAATAAAGTTTATATGAAATGTCCTTTTTTGGAGTTTCACCTTATCTTGTTGCTGTTTTTATTTTTGGAGCCTTTGAAAAAGGTGAGAAGAGACTGCATGCTAATGATTATACTATATGAGTTTTTTGTGAGACTTTTGAGACTTCAGTGAAAATGAATTAATTTTGTTCCCTCATAAGGTGATGGCACATTTCTGTTGTAGTGGTGGTAGGTCGCTATGGTGAAGTAACCTCTTAGAAAATGTTGTGATACAGGTGGAACCACAGGCAGCATAAAAGAGTGTTTTCTGTGTGTGTAGCTGAGTATTTAGGCGTTACTATCATTGGGGCAGTAGCGTTTTTAGATACGGGCGACACGGGCGGTTGCCCGGGGCGGCATCGTGGTGGGGGGCGGCATAACAGGCATCGGCAAAAAAAAAAAAAAATTGCTCGTACACATGCTGCCCCGACATCATGCCAGCGCATAGGGATGGTACAGGCACCGTCGGTTTTCTATCGCCCATTTGCTGGGAGTAAGGGCGCCCTCCGTTTGTGAGGTGCGCCTGCTGCTTGCGGCACAGGGAGGAGAGGACGGGCCGGCGAGGGGGATTCTCTGTCTGTCAAAATAAAAACAAACCAACAAACACGAAAACACCAGACATTATGATACAGACTTTCTATTCTATACGCGCGAGAGCCCTCCGTGCGCCTGCTCGCTGCTGAAGTCAAAGTAAACTTTATTGTCATCTCCGCTACTTACAGTCGAGCATATAGAGAGACGAGACGACGAGGCTGCAGTTACAGCAGTGCAAGTAAACGAACAGTAAATATAAGAAGAGTAAGAAAATAAATATACACTTTAGGACTCGGGGTAAAGGGATCAATAACAATTAAAAATGTATATTTTATATTTTGTTGATTTAAAGTCTCACACACAACCCATTTTTAAAGTTTAAAGAGAGAAAAGAAGAGGAGGAGTGTAGCGACTTCCACAGTCGCTAGAGGCCGGGGATTGAGCCTGCCTATTTGCCTGACGCGCTGTCAACTTTACGCAATGAGAGGTGAAATTGCTCGCTTGTTTATTGAAGTGCTTGAAATTTTTACAGAGAAATGTGATCGGCTCGCGATTCAAACTCTTAAAACATCACAGACTCTCATGCAACAAGGGGAAACTCGTTGTGCTGCGGTCAACAAAGGCAGGTCATGTATCCTAAAACATTAAGAATCAGAATACTTTATTACTTACTTAATATGTTTTGTGTGTGTGTGTGTGTGTGTGTGGGGGGGGGGGCGCCAGAGGGAGTGTTCGCCCAGGGCGCCAAACGGGCTAGGACTGCCACGAGATGCAGAGAGGAATTTCCCCACGGGGATAAATATAGTATACTATATTATTATTATTATTATTATTATTATTATTATTATTATTATTAATAATAATAATAATAATAATAATAATAATAATAATAAACTTGGTTTAGTCTCTGCACTTACGATTCCAGGGCTCTGGCTTTAGCTACTTTGTAATCACCTTTTACTCAGGAAACATCAATTGGTGGGAATTCAAAGAGTATAAAAATCTAGCAGGATCATCATTAAGGACAAAACAACAGTCTTCATCACTCAAGAATTCCTGTTTCTCCATCCTGCAATGATTTAAAGAGGGGTTTATAGACGTGCACAGCTTGGACCACTGGCCCTCCACCCATGGCAGTAAAATCATCAATGCCTTCAGACTCAGCCCCAACAGCTGCCCCAGTGGTCAGACAATTTTTTTTTCCATATATAGAACAAATTCCAGACTAAGAAGACACATTTTAACATTTGATTCTACAAACTCTTTAACTTTAACAACATATTTAACATTCATGGAAATGATTTAACTGGTGACGGGTGAACACAAACCGGTTTTTGTTTCTCCTGCATTCTCTGGCATAATTCAGTGAAAGCGTGTTTATGCAGACAGAGTTATGAATCTTATGACTCTCATATGTCCTGTGAGTTAATACTTGCCTTTTGTCAAACACAAAAAGGCAGTTGTTGCAAACAGGATACTGATCTCTACACAAGTGTGTGCAAATATCCTTGTATTTGTGGTGTTGTAGCGGAAAAATTGATTTTAAATATGCTTACGCATATACTTTTACAGCATGCCTTCATAGTGGAAAAGACAGACTGATAGGGGTGTGCCTGCTGATATTTAAAAATAGAAAAGGCATCTGATGGAGGTCTCAACGAAGGGCGAGTCAGTAACATCAGTTACAAAGGAATGTCGACTCTGCCATGTAACACTGAGCTGATACTGCACACCATTGCAAAAGCTGACAGAAGAGTAACAGGAAAAAAGTAACAAAGTTAAAAGAATATTGTGAGGGACCAAGCAGCAAAGAGGACACAGGAAAAATGTCTTCAAAATGTTTTTTTTTTATTTTAACACTCAAAAAAATTGCAAAAGGACAGAATTCAAAGACATAATTAGCAAGCCCCCTAGCAGGTCACTTAAATATAGTGGAGGGGGACTATTCTGTACTAAATAAGCACAGAATAGCGCACATTAACCTAAGCACCCCTGTTTCTGATAGCACATGGTTGGTATTTTGACATTTTGTTTTTAAAGTCCTCAGCCACACCCCAAATCAGGTAACTCAAAGAAAGAGAAACATAATTAATGTAACAGAAAACATTATGATCAGTCAGAGAAATACAGATCGAGACTCTTCTTGTATTCCAATAAACCCCTTTTTTGAAGTATGTTCTCCGGTGTGGACTCCCTTTTTGTTTCTTTTGTCTAATGTTTGCCATTCTCCCCAGCATGTGTTACAACCCACCCAGATATTGGGGCAGATTGTAAAAAAGAAATGCAATGTATTTAACGTTAATACACAAGGTCTGTGGCATTCTTGCAGGGCTTTGAATAGATGTCATTTATAGGAAACAAAAGTGGGTATTTTGTGTAAAAGCTTGAGCGCTCTAGCCCCAAATTTAATTGAGTTACAAGTGCTAAAGCAAAAGGGGTTGCAGCCATACCTGATCTCCCCTACGCCAGAGACATATCACTCTAATTTTGGCTTCTCTTCATTGGTTGCCAGTAAATTTTAGGTTTCATTTTAAAATCTTGATTTTAACCTTTAGGGCGCTACATGGTCAAGCTCCCAAGTATATAGCTGACCTGCTGAAAGTTCATTCCTCTTCCCGAGCTCTAAGGTCATCATGTGAGAGGCTGCTGGTGGCCTCACACGACTTAAAACTCAGGGTGATTCGGTCTTTCAGACAGTGGCAGGTCGTGGAATTCTCTTCCACTGTTTTTATGCTGTAGAGACGCCATTAACTGTTTTAAAAAGCATCTGAAGACATTTTTAGATAGACCAGCTTTTAATTAATTAGTTTTTTTCTTTTTTTTTACATCAATATGTTGTATATTCATTTCTTATTTTATTGTGAAGTGCTTTGAGATTTTTTATTTTTTGTTAAAAGTGCTTTAAAAATCCTTTTTACTTATTTACAGTAGTGTGAGAGTGGAGGTAAAACTGGGTGTTAAATACAGGAATAATGAGAGCTAATGTAATTGTTGCATTAGAACATTCAAAGTGCCTTACATCTTGATCTGTATCTCCTACAGCTCTAACAGCAGTGGTCCAAACACAGCAGACTGTGCTGGCAGCAGTGGGAGAAGATGCTGAATTCAGCTGTCAGCTCTTGGACACTAAAGACATCCTTCAGGTCACATGGCAGAAAATTTCACCTGATGTTCAGGAAAATGTTGCCACCTACAGCAAGTATGGTCAGAGAGTGAATGATGGCTTTACAGATAAAGTTGAGTTTAAATACACTGAACTACAGAACTGCTCCATAGTCATCAGGAATGTGACAGAGCAGGATGAAGGCTGCTATCACTGTCTGTTTAATACTTATCCTGAAGGCTCAATCATTGGTAGAACCTGCCTCCAAGTCTATGGTAAGAACTTTTACCTTCTTTAACCAACCACAGAAGACTCAAACTAATATAGTGGATATGAAAATGTAAGAAGCTGGTGAAGTTAAAGAGATATTCCTTACATTTCCTGATCCTTCACAGAGCTGCATGAACCTGCTGTTGATGTCAGAGAGTCAAACTCTGCTGAAGAGTGGGTTGTTTCCTGTTCAGCCACTGGTCAACCTGCTCCCACTGTAACACTCAGTGTCTCACAACAAGACCTCAGCTTCTCACAGTACAACACTGTCAGTGTGTCCAACACCAACGCTACATTCACTGTCACCACTACAGCTGTGCTCTCAGGTTCACGTAAACACAGCACACAGGTGGGATGTGCAGCACGAGTGCTCTCTGCTCCTCACAGAGAGGTGATGGAGACGATTCCTCATCATAACGGTGAGAAACTGAACTCAGTGATTTATAAATTGATGACTACTTTGTGATTGTAACTTTTATGTTTCTTCTACCGGAGCTAGATGAGAAATCAGGATCTGATCCCAGGAATTTAGGTGCGTTAAAATTTCAGTGTTTTAAATGTACTTTTTGTCCTGTTGAGTCTATTGTCTTCTGATAGCTGCATAAATTATTATATTCTCCTTTCTCCTGTTTGTATCAAAGGAATCAGAATTTCAGCCATTCTGTTGTCTGTGATGTTGTTGGTGGCCTGTGTTACTGCACTCATTTTTGTCTGGTATAGAAAGAAATCTCAGAGCAGGTACTCGTCTTAAACAGTGTTGTTGATTGTTTTTTTTTTCCAGTTAATAAATATTTGTGCAGATTTAACTGTTCTTGAATATTTGAGTCAGTCACACAGGCAGGTTGAGATGAATGTTATACCTACCTGAATCTACAATGAGAAATAAAGGGGTAAGTCACTCTTGATCCGTCATTCTGGACCCACGAAGTTACAACCCGAGTTGTGAAAAAGTTGGGTTACTGTTAAATATAAATTAAAACATATTTCAATAATTAGAAAAGCTCATGAACCTATCATTTAATAACAACAGAATATAGTAAGCATATCAAATGTAATGAAGTAATAAAATGTGACATTTTATTATTGTGTGAAAATAATAGAAATAATTTCATGACAATATTTAGCTTATTTTTGATTCGGTTTGTCTGAATGCATCTAAAAAAATGTTGCCACCGGACACCATAAGTTCAAAATGTAAGAAATAGCTGGAGGAACATTTTACAACTGATTAAAGGTTGACTTTTAAGATTGTGAACTCATAATTATAATGTAGTGAAACATGCAATGGAAAGTAAAAATTAAAAATATGTTGTGACATTTGAAGTTCTCTGACTTACCTCCAGAGCTGCTTTTTATTCTTTTACAATCTAATGTAAACTGCATGTCAACCAAACTGATGCGTCTTTCCACTAAGCTATTACTTTGTTTAGAATTTTTAGATTCTGTATTATTGACAGAGCAGTGATATAATGCTTGTTTCTTTGATTTTGTTTTTTAATTTAAAGGACTCAAACATCTTCAGGTAAACACCGTGACAAGTGGGTACCTGCTGACACCAAATGATGATCTGGGTCATCATGTGGTGGTGATGAACAGCAACAAAACTACATAATGAAAAATCTTTACTTTTTTTGTTTACTTATTTTTTCAAGAAGAGTGTGTTACCTAAAACAACGGTGCTAAAATTTGACAAATAACTGCATTAAAGTTGTACTAAAGAAAATGTCAAATGTTACATTTACATTGACAGTTAAAATTGTTACAATTCAATTTTTTTATAATCCTCTGCGCTATATACGGTATTTATAGCACATGTATTTTTATTTTATTTTATTTTTCAACAGTCTTAAATGTTGTTATTCCTTTTTACATTTAGAAACATGTAACCATGTTCTTCCTTAGCAGAATAGCACAAAAGTTCAATAAGCACTGAAATGTGTTGCACTGAAACATTTGCAAACCATTAAATAATATTATTGTCCTGTACATTTCCATTTTCATGTACTTGATGCTATCTAATTTTTACACTGTTTTTTAAATATTTGAAAAAAAAATTGAAAATCCAAGAAAATAAAAATTTACAATAAAAAGTGATGTTCTGTTGTCATGTTAAAGATATTTATATTTTAACCCTGGAGATTTGACCCCATGGTTTCCCTAGTAAACCAATGGGGTCGGCTCTGACCCCATGGGTTAAATTTAACTCACTTTAATTAATTGAAAGTCAGCAGGAGTGGCTAACATGAAACATTGTCAGTAACTTATGGCCTGGTAAATGGTCTGTATTTGTATAGCGCTTTACTAGTCCCTAAGGACCCCAAAGCGCTTTACACATCCAGTCATCCACCCATTCAAACACTGGTGATGGCAGCTACATTGTAGCCACAGCCACCCTGGGGCGCAACCATACTGAATTTCACCAGAGAAACACACACACACATATGAGAAGAGAGAGAGTATGCATAGTATGCAAACGGATACCAAACAGCCATCATAATTTGTCATACAATGAGAACAGGACAAATCAACAATTGACAACGACTAATTAATATTAAAATCTGTAACATAATGTATTGTTTGGAGTTTAGTCTGTTACTGTTACTATTTTTACCATTTCTTCTTGGAGCAACTGTAACGCACATAATTTCCTTAAGGATTAATAAAGTATTCTGATTCTGATTGTTTCAGGATGAGCTGCCATTATCCAATCACACATCTGCTTACCTGTATCTTTGGCTCATTTCTCCTCCTCTTCTTTTCTCTTTTTTCTAAACTGAGCACCTGATGGCTTTGGCCTTTTCTTGTCCATCTTCCATTGGTTTTAATTTTGCACTCCAGTATGAACACCCATCCCTCAACCCAAGGATCACCCCAACATCATCTAACACACCTACACCTTAGTTCACAGATTCACTTTGTCGAGGGTTTATTTCTGGGATTTCACACAACCCAGGATTCAAATCATGAATACATAATGGGCTTGGATTTACAACATTATAAATGAAATGTGCTCTATGTGGAAGCAGCCGCCCCCCCCCCCCCCCCCCTCCCCTTTTGACATGTTGTGTGTGAGACTTTAAATCAGCAAACTGTAAATTATACATTTTAAATTGTTATTGATCCCTTTACCCCGAGTCCTAACGTGTATATTTATTTTCTTACTCTTCTTATATTTATTGTTCATTTACTTGCACTGCTGTAACTGGAGCCTTGTCGTCTCTCTATATACTGGACTGTATGCAGCGGAGATGACAATACAGTTGACTTTGACTTCAGCACCGAGCAGGCGCACCGAGGGCTCTCGCGCTCACTTTTCGCGTATAGAATTTCGAAAAAAACAAATTGCAAATTATAAGTCTGTATCATAATGTCTGGTGTTTTCGTGTTTGTTGGTTTGTTTTCATTTTGTTTTATTTTGCGAGCTGGTTATTAGATGCTGCTCCAGCCGGTCAGTGAATCATCCGCCGCCCCGCCCTCTCCTCCCTGTGCCGCAAGCAGCAGGCGCACCTCGCAAACGGGCGATAGAAAACCGATCGGTGCCTATGTCATTCCCAATATGCGCTGGCTGATGTCGGGGCAGCATGAGTACGAGCAATGTATTTTTTATTTTTATTTTTGCCGATGCCCGTGATGCCGCCCCCCACCACGATGCCGCCCCGGGCAACCGCCCGTGTCGCCCGTATCAAAAACCGCTACTGTTGGTCAGAGAGTGAATCATGGCTTTGCTCAAGTTTAAACATACTGTACAGAACTGCTCCATAATAATCAGGAACGCGACGGAGCAGGATGAGGTCTTCTATCACTGTTTGTTTAACCCTTAAGGTTCTCAAACAAGTGGAACCAGCTAAGTGCCAGAAACAAATATGCTGGATAACAAGGTGTTACCAGCCGGATGAACGTGTAACACAAATGCTGATTGTTTTTTTCATTCAGTACTCTGTGTTTTATACACTGTATATACATTGTATACATGTGCAGTATATGTAATAATGTTTTGTCTCATGTTCCACATATTTACTTTTGTCCTGCTAATTAATTATGGTAAATGGTGTTTGTAATTTCACTTGTGTACAGTGTTTTTGTTTCCAGTTATGACATTAAGATGTAAATAGGTGTAAATAAACTACAGCGGTGCTCTCAGGTTCACGTAACAACAGCACACAGGGGGGATGTGCAGCACGACTGCTCTCTGCTCCTCACAGAGAGGTGACTGTGAAGATTCATGTTGATGATGAAACTCTTTTGAAGTCACTGATTTATAAAATGATGACTACTTTGTGATTGTAATGCTTATGTTTCTTCTAACAGAGTTAAATGAGAAATCAGGATCTAATCCCAGGAATTTAGGAGTGTTTTAAAGTCAGTTTTCTCATTGAGTCTTTTATTTTTTTTATAGTTGTTCAAATTATTATACTCTTCTTTCTCATTTTTTTCTAAAAGGTATCAGGATTTCAGTCATTCTGTCGTCTGTGGTGTTGTTGTGCAGTATCTTTGTCGGGTATAAGAAGAAATCTCAGAGCAGGTACTCGTATTAAACACTGTTGATTGCTTTTTTGTTTCAGAAGATAAATGTTCGTGTAGATTTAACTGTTCTTAAATCGTTTGCCTGTCATATTATAATTACTCAGTGTTGAGATATTTGTCAACCTAATAAAACGACGACGATTTTTGTCAGGTTTTGTGGGTATAACGGTTTATTCTCATGGTAAATGTGCAATCAACACTGTGCTCCTTATTAAAGATGTGTGTAGTAAATGTCAGCAGCTTTTCACCTCAAAGTCTGTTATTATCACTACTGCTGATAAACACATTTTGAAAGTTAAATAAATTTCACAAAATCAACCTGCTTGTGTGTCTTGCATGGTTTATATCAGATTTCCACCACAAATCTTTTAGAAAACGTGATAGGATGGAAGCTTTTGATTATCTGATTGTAAAAAATCGGAACACAAGAATGAAAGTCATTTAAACAGTTCACACATGTACATATGCATAGAGTAGATACACTGTCACCACTACAGCTGTGCTCTCAGGTTCACGTGAACACAGCACACAGGTGGGATGTGCAGCACGAGTGCTCTCTGCTCCTCACAGAGAGGTGATGGTGACGATTCCTGATGATGATGATAATGAGGAACTCTTTCACTGATTTATAAAATGATGATTTCTCTGTGATTCTAATGTTTGTAAGGTGTGTTAAAAGCCAGTTTTCAATGTATATCAACTAAACTCTGATGTATAGCTCTGTCCAATAAGCTTTTACTCTGTTTAGAATACTTTGATACTTTCGAATATAAACAGAATAATGATATCATTTTTAGTTTTATTTTAAAACATCGTCAGTGAAACAAAGTAACACTTAGCTCAACAGGTGAACACCTCCTGACAGACACCAACTAAACAATCACCGTCACCACCAACTAAATTTTGACAATTTTTTTCTTTCTTTCTGTTTTTGTGTGTGCCTTTCCAGACAAAATAAAAAGTAAACAAAAGAAAATGTAAAAAAAAAATGTGCTAAAGCTTGACAAACAACTGATGCACTGAAGCATTCTGAAAATATTAATTGCACATTGCAGTTTTTGTGTGAGTACTTTGTGCAGTTAATTACCCCCGCCCCAATTTTTTAAGATTTCATTGATGTTTGTGGTGAAAAAAATGATGGAAAAAAAATGATGGTTATTGTGTGCCGACACATATTGGCACGCAATATGTGTTGTCCCTGAGCTGATGCGGCACATGTGTTAAAAACATCATGTGTTGAGAGTGAGGGGGGACTAACCAAAGTACCCCGTGCCTTGATATTAGGTTGAAACCATTGCATTCGTGTGGATTTGTCTCTTTCTTGCCCACTAGATGGCACTACAGCGTCAGTGCACAGGACATTTCCTTGTTTCCAGTTATCGCCAGAACTTGCTCGCTGTGTTTGAGGAAAACTTGCAACACTGCTCTGTGATTTAGTGGAGAAAGAATGTTTTTCGCCTTTCGCTTTATGTCAGCTGGGTTACGACTGCGACTATGAACTGGAAAATGGGAAGCCGATGGATGAATGACAATGCAGGGTTTCACTTGTGTACAGTGCTGTGACATGAAGATGTAAACTAACTAAAGTCCAGTGAAGGCGTTTACTGTGGACTCCGGTATGAAGCCAGTTTAATTCAACCTTAAAAGTTAATCATCAGATTTAGGTCGTCGACATGTAAGTAATTTACAGATGTTCGGTGATCCATGCACAGCAAAATCTCCAGCGTTAAATTAACACTAGAGAGTGTCTTTAAGGGTCCACTCCTCTGAGTGTTAAATATAACACCGTTGAGTGTTAAATGAACACTTCTGACAGTGTTATATTTTTAAAGGTAACCTAGTCAGTTTTGAAGATTAACAATGACTAATCTGAGCAGTGCTGATTTTCTGACACTGGAATATTTCTAACATTTTGAGTTATTTTCCAGTGTTAGAAAATCAGAACCGTTAGTCATTGTTAATCTTCAAAACTGACTAGGTTACCTTTAAAAATATAACACTGTCAGAAGTGTTCATTTAACACTCAGTGGAGTGGACCCATATAGACATTCTCTAGTGTTAATTTAACACTGGAGATTTAGTTGTGTGGGGAGTGGCTACAGCGCATGCGGCAGTTTCCTGCGATCTGCCAGATTGGTGTTATCTATCGACTGTACCATTATAAAAGGGGGCAAAATGGCGACACGTGCCTTTACATCGCACTTTAAATTGATAATTCTCGATTATTTTTTGTTATTTGTCTCACTATATGATCATGTACACATGTATTATCTTATGATTCTTTTTAGCTAACCTGTTAAACGTTTATATGCATCAGACCAGCTGAAAGTTTACCCGTAACTGTAGTAGCTGAGCCCAACGCCAGACAAAGAGTCAGCCTGAATGAATGAAGTTTTTGTGAAATGTCCTTTTTCGGAGTTTTGCTTTATGTTGTTGCTGTTTTTATTTCTGGAGCCTTTGAAAAGGGTGAGAAGAGACTGCATGTTAATTATTATAATATATGAGTTTGACCTTTTTATAAAGTAAAATTTCATTTATTTTGTTCCCTCGTGAGAAAATGACTGGTTTCAGTTGTGGTGGTGGGAGAGGTCGCTAAGGTGAAGTAACCATTTTGATAATGTTGTGATACAGGTACAACCACAGACAGCATAAAAGAGTGTTTTCTGTGGGTGTAGCTGAGTATTTAGGCATTACTATCATCAGGGGTGTGTGGATGATCCTGATGTGTGCAGGAAAGGCACTTCAGCTATTGTTCTGTGAATTATTCATATCAATTCTCATTTAAATAAGCAAATACGATAATTTATAGTTTGAAAAATATTATTAAAAAGATATTTTAGATGAACATAAAAAAAAGTAAAATTCAGGGGGTTTTTTCCTCTGCACTTACGATTCCCGGGTTCTGGCTTTAACTACTTTGTAATCACTTTTTACTCAAGAAACATCAATTGCTGGGAACTCAAAGAGTATAAAAAGCTACCAGGCTCACTGTTAAGGACAAAACAACAGTCCTCATCACTCAGGAGTTCCTATTTCTCCACCCTGCAATGATTTAAAGAGGGATTTATAGACGTGCACAGCTTGGTCCACTGCCCTCCATTCGTGGCTGTAATCACAGACTGCAGTAAAATCATCAGTGTCTTTAGACTCAGCCCCAACTGCCGCCCCAGTGGTCAGTCTTTTTTTTTTCCATCTATAGAACAAATTACAGACTAAGAAGACACATTCTGACATTTGATTCTACAAACTCTGACATTTTCCAACGTACTTAACGTTCATGGAAATGATGGTGATGGGTCAACACAAACCTGTCTTTGTTTCTCCTGCATTCTCCGGCATAATTCAGTGAAAGCGTGTTTATACAGACAGAGTTCTGAATCTTATGACTCTAATATGCCCTGTGAGTTAATACTTGCCTTTTTTCCAACACCGAAAGGCAATTGTTGCAAACAGGGTAGTGATCTGTACACAAGTGTGTGCTACTATGCTTGTATTTGTGGGGTTTATAGAAAAATAACCTTACTGCAATGTCAGGTGACCCCATAGCACCACATAGGAGAGACCTTCAACATTATGCACTCCACACTGTATATAAATGCCACTTGTTTTGCACATATTCAACTCTGTATATTTTATATATTTTATTATTATTATTTTATTTTATTTTTTTACTATTTAATTTGTAAAAATGTGTATACACACACACACACACACACACACACACACACGTAGGAAAATATTTAGTATACACATCCAGAAATGCATACACTATTATATATTGTATATATATTTATTAGTTTCAGGTTGGCCATTCTTGTATTTTGCTCGTTTGTGTTGTTGTGTTTGCACATCTCTGTTGCTTGTGGGGCTCGCACACAAGAATTTCACTCGCATGTGCTGTGCCAGTGTGCCTGCACATGTGATGTGACAATAAAAAGTGATTTGATTTTGATTAGACCTGGTATAGTTGTAACATTGGGATCACTGAATTGATCATATGACTCCTATCTCATCCCATGATCACTTCAGTGTTTAGCCACTTCCATCCCTGATTTGGGGCGATGGGGCAATTGTGGCTCAAAGCGTTGGCAATTTGTCTTGTAACCGCAAGGTTGCCGGTTTGTGCCCCGGCTCGGACAGTCTCGGTCGTTGTGTCCTTGGGCAAGACACTTCACCTTCCACCTACTGGTGATAGCCAGAGGAGCCGATGGCGTGATGTGGCAGCCTTGCTTCTGTCAGCCTGCCCCAGGCTGTGGGGCAGCTGTGGCTACAACTGTAGCTTGCCTCCACCAGTGTGTGAATGAATAGTGGAATTGTACAGTGCTTTGAGGGCCCCGAAAAGCACTATATAAATGCAATCCATTATTATTATTTCACATGGTGGTTATCATGGCTGTAAGCAACTGCATGTAGATTGTAGAAAACTGATTTTGACTTATGAAATTACTTCTTTTGACCAGCACTAAGCTTTGTTAGGAGTTAAACAGCTGCAGACCAAATAATATGACTAACAGTATATTAAATAGGCAAGCTGTAATACATTTGCCCCCTGCTAATTTTAAGCCGCTATGCTAATAAAGTTAGATAAACAATGACCGACAAGGGTGGGGTGAGTTGTAACATATACTTTCAATGTGTTACAACAATTCCCTTCCCCAAAGTATGAATAGCTTATTGATTTTAAATATGCTAACACATGTACTTTTACAGCATGTCTAGATAGTGGAAAAGAAAAACTGATCAAGGTATGCCTGCTAATATTTTAAAAAAAAAAGAAAAAGGCATCTGATGAGGTCTCAACGAAGGGTGAGTCAGTCAGATCTTCCATGTAACACTGAGCAGATACTCCAAGTCATTGCAAAAGCTTATGGAAGAATAACAGAAAAAAGAATGGAAAAAGAATATCTTAGGAAAAATATATGCAAGCAGAAGAAAAAGAAAGTGAAATCTGCCCCCCAAAAATTTGAAAAATAACGCTGAAGATTCTGAGACAATGAATGATGAAAACCTTTGCATTGGTAACTCAAAGGCAAAAAAAGTTTGGGTAAAATTTACCCTGTGCAGTCTTTGGGCCCACCAAGCCTGCACTGCAGAGCTACCAACATTCATCTGTCAACATTGTGAATCTGATTAATACATGCACACTGCCATTGGTTTTTTTTGATACAGATAATATACAACAACATTGTGTGTGTGTGTGGTGTTGAGCTTTAACAACACACCAAACCACACCCTGAACCTGCTGGTCCACTCATCCCCTGCAGCCATGCCACAGAACACACCCAACCAGAAAGACCTACATCTTTTTCAGACAGGTGCATTGTACCTGTTTGTACCTGTCACTGAACTGTTTATTGAGTATTTGTGTTTGTTCTCTTAAGCTAATTTACACACCCACACACAGCAGAGTGCATTTGAGTTATGTTTAGTCACAAAGAGAGTTCTTTTATTCCAATAGACCAGCGGTCCCCAACCTTTTTTGCACCACGGACTGGTTTAATGTCAGACAATATTTTCACTGACCGGCCTTTAAGGTGTCGGGGATAAATACAACAAAATAAAATGATACGACCAACACTAAAACTGTGGTATTTTTTAAATTACTTTATTAGTAGCGTCCTCCTGAAATGTGCCAACAACATTGAGAGCAACATCCTCCTCTCTGTCCTTTAATGGTCTCTGGTATTTCTTTCAAAATAAGACACACAACTACAACACAGGAAAAGACCCAGGGAAATAGAGTTAATGATAAAAACCCTGAAAACCATAAATTTCACACCTGGGCCTCAACTCTCGTGGCCCAGTACCAAACGTGGCCCAATGAGTGCAATAAACCACTCTTTGAAGCATGTCCTCTGGTGTGGGCTCTGTTTTTCTGTTTCTTTTGTCTAATTGTTACAATTCTTCCCAGCATTTGTTACAACCCACCTGGATATTAGGGTACATTGTAACAAATTTAATGTTAACACACGAGGTCTTTTCTTGCAGGGCTTTGAATAGATCCCATTCATTGGAAATAAAAGTGGGTATTTTGTGTAAAAGTTTGAGAGCTTCAGGTGCTAAACCAAAAAGTCCTGTCAATGATCTCATTGAGAGGGTTCAGGCCTATGCAGAACAGCAGCAGGGACAGCATCTCCTTGATCCTGCACTTGATTGTGACTTGTGCTTGTGCTATGGACTTAAAGTAGTGTTGTACGCCACATCCCCAGTGAGCTCCCAATGAAGGCTCTTAGGATCCTGTTGATCTTATGCAATTATAAGCATTCCAGGATCCATGTGTGTGGCATCGAGTCTTAGGCTTTCTTGTAGTCAATCCAGGCAGTGCACAGGCTGGTCGGTTGCTCCTCTGGTATTCCTGCCTTTCTGTGCCCCGCTCAAGTTTTTGAGCCATGTGCCTGTTCATCTTAGCTGCTATGATGCCTGACAGGGGCTTCCGTGTGGTACAGATTATTGGTCAGTAGTTAGATGGGACTGTCCCTTCTGGGGGTCTTCGGGAATTAGGGCTGTCCGGCCTTCAGTAAGCCATACTGGGTGTCCAGTATTGCTCCATCTCAAGCCTTGGTGGTGCTGTTCTCATATTGTTCCCCCTACCACTGAGAGTACAACTTGGATGGTTCTGTGGCGAGACAGCTGGTTTATTCTCCTGCCTTCGATCTCTCGGGTATACTTCTTCAAACGGCTGGCCAAGGCTGTGATTCTTTGCTTGGCAGTTTCCAAGGCCTCAGGTATCAACAGTTTGCTGTACTTTTTAGGCACCTTCTTCATTTGACCTTTCTGACACTCTGATAGTTGGCTTACCTCCCTCTGTACTACCTTGATCTTGGCCTCTAGCTTCCTTCATGGAGGGTACTGCTCCTTGTGGTTGTTCAACTTGTAGCCAAGCATCTCACTGATCACTGCTGCTATAGTGTAGATCAGCTGGTTAGTTTTGGTAATAGTCACAGTGGGCATTTTCCATAGTACTGCATTCACATCATCAAGTCGATCCTCATAGGGTACTTCAAGTAGTCTTGGTAACCGGCTATGGAAGATCCAGGTTTCAAGTTTCATCATGATCCTATGTTTCAGGTCAGTTCCTCTCACACTCAACGATCCTTACATCACACTTGGGGCTTGGTACCCAATCTCGGGTGGGGGTGATGATATCTCCTCCCTGACCTGTCATCCTGGCTCTTCCTTGCAGCAGTAGCATTCCAATAGCAGATGATTTTCAGCCTGTCAGTGTGTTTGGCAAATCAAGCATATAAACTGTTTTGTTGTTTTTGTTTTTTTGTATTATCTGATGCGTATGGACCAATGCTGATGTGAATGCTGATTGTAGATTGCAGCTTTTTCATAAGGTGCTGGCTTTGATCCTTTCTTTAATTTGATATTGTATTTGTTTGAGCAGAATGTAAATGTGAGTGTGGAGGCAAAAAAAAAAGGTTGTTAATTGCAGGAATAATGATAGCTAACGGTACTAGACTTGTGTCAGTAAGGATTGCACTTGAACTTGAATAGAATATTTAAAGTGCCTCACAGCTTGATCTATCTCCTACAGCTCTAACAGCAGTGATCCAAACACAGCAGACTGTGCTGGCAGCAGTGGGAGAAGATGCTGAATTCAGCTGTCAGCTCTTGGAGACTAAAGATGTTGTTCAGGTCACATGGCAGAAAATCTCACATGATGTGGAGACAAATGTTGCCACCTACAGCAAGTACTATGGTCAGAGAGTGAATGATGGCTTTAACGATAAAGTTGTGTTTAAATACACTGGACTACAGAACTGCTCCATAGTCATCAGGAATGTGACGGAGCAGGATGAAGGATGCTATCACTGTCTGTTTAACACTTATCCTGAAGGCTCTCTGACAGGGAAACCCTGCCTCCGAGTTTATGGTAAGAACCTGTACCTCAAACAAACATACTGGAAATAAATGTGTGAGCAGCTGGTGTGTTTGTAAGAACATGTTGATGATATGTCCTGATCCTTCACAGAGCTGCATGAACCTGTTGTTGATGTCAGAGAGTCAAACTCTACTGAAGAGTGGGTTGTTTCCTGTTCAGCCACTGGTCGACCTGCTCCCACTGTAACACTCAGTGTCTCACAACAAGACCTCAGCTTCTCACAGTACAACACTGTCAGTGTGTCCAACACCAACGCTACATTCACTGTCACCACTACAGCTGTGCTCTCAGGTTCATGTAAACACAGCACACAGGTGGGATGTGCAGCACGAGTGCTCTCTGCTCCTCACAGAGAAGTGATGGTGACAACTCCAGATGATGATGGTGAGAAACTCTTTCAAAGTCATCGATTTATAAATTAATGATTACCCTGTTATTCAAATGTTTGGGTTCCTTCTTCCAGGTTTGGATGAAAAATCTAATCACATAAATTTCGGTATGTCAAAATGTACACTTTTTAAAGCCAGTTTTTCTTTTCCATCTGTTGATATTTAAAATGTAATACCCCCTCTTTGTCCATAGGATCCAGGACATTAGTCATTCTATCCTCTGCTGCGTTGTTGTTTGCCTGTGTTTCTGCACTCATCTCTGTCTGGCTTAGAAAGAAATCTCAGAGCAGGTAATCCTCTTAAACAGCGTTGCTTTTTGTCTTTTTGTTCAGCTGATAAATATTTGTGCAGATGTAACTGTTCTTGAATCTTACAGTCAGTCACATCGGCCGGTTGAGATGAATGACATGGCTACCTGAAGCTACAATGAGAGATACTGAGGAGTAAGTCAGGCTTGATGCATCATTCTGCATCTACAAAGTTATAAACCCAGCTATGAAAAATTTGGAATGCTGTTAAATACGAATAAAAGTATAATGCAGTAATTAGAACATTTTATAAACCTATCATAATAGAATGTTGAAGGTATATCAAATTGATGAAATGTAAATCTAATGAAATAATGAAATTTTTAGCTTATTTTGGATTTGGTGTCTCTAAATGCATCTCAAAAATGTTGCCACAGGACACCAAAAGTTCAAAATGAAAGAAACAACTGGAAGAACATTTTACAACTAACTAGATTAACTGTCAAAATGCTAGAAGTATAAAATGAGGATTTTAAAGAGACAGGGTTTGTCAGAAAATGGCCAGATGTTGACTTTTAAGATTGTGAACTTGGAAAATAATGTAATAAAACATGCAATGGAAAGTTAAAATTAAAAATATGTTTTGACATTTGGAATTTTCTGACTTACCTCCAGAGCTCCTTTTTATTCTTTTACTTCCTTTGTAAACTAATGTAAACTGCATGTCAACCAAACTGATGCATATATCTTTCCACTAAGCTATTGCTTCATTTACAATACTTAGATTCTGTAATATTGACAGAGCAATGATATAATGTTGTTTTTATTTTATTTTAAAGGACTAAAACATCTTCAGGTAAACAACGTGACAGTCAGCGCAAAAAGCGAATGCCTGCTGACACCACATCATGATATTGGGGCCTTTGAGTGATGAAACGTTTCTCCCACAAAACGCTACGTTCAGATGAACAGAATCAACTTTTGGAAATTCATTTGCATCAAAACTACAGTTTGACAGATTTTTGCTTTTTTTGTTTACTTTTTGCTTTTTTATCAAGAAGAGTGTATTTTCTAAAACAATGGTGCTAATTTGACAAATAACTGCACTAACGTTGGACTAAAGAAAATGGTAATTGTTACAGGGAAATTGCAGCTTTTATATCATCACTTTGTGCTATATATTTATAGCATATTTATTTTATTTATTTTTTCACCAGTTTTTAATGTTGTTATACCTTTTTATATTTGGAAACACGAGACCATGTTGTCCCTTAACAAAACAGCACTGAAGTTCTGTTTACAAAGCACTAAAATGTGTTGCACTGAAACATTTGCAAACTGTTAAATAATATTATTATCCTGTACATTTCAATTTTCTGCTGTTTATTTTTTCCACTGTTTTTTTAAATATTTGAAAGAAAAATTGAAAATGCAAGAAAATAAAAATGTACTGTAAAAAGTAATGTTTTGTTGTCATTTTACGGATATCCTCTGTTGTTGACTTGGCTGTCTCTGACCACTACTGTGTGTTTTTTAACATCACCGGTTTTATTCAGCGGAAGACCTCGGTGCGAACTGTGAGGAGGCGCTATCTAACCTCTGAAGTGGCTGCAAATTTTACCAGGGTTTTAGTCAAATGCCCCCCTGTGATTTTACCTGCACCCTGCGATTTGATTTTTAGTTATTTTAACAGCAAACTGAAGAAAAGCCTTGACTCCGTTGCTCCACTCACTACCAAAAAGATTAACGTAAAACATGCATCACCCTGGAGAAACGAAGAAGTCAAAAAACTCAAAAGAAATTGCAGGGCAGCAGAAAGGAGATGGAGGAAAAATAAAAATAATATCAACCATCAAATATTTTCCGAGCAACTTAAAATGTACAATAATACATTAAGGAAGTCAAGAAATTCATACTTCGCCAAAATAATCAGTATTAACAAAAATAATCCCAAGGTCCTCTTTTCCACCATAGATCATTTATTTAACCCTGATTTTAACAGCTCCAAAAGAACCCCCACAGACTCACTCTGCGAGCAGTTTGCAGACCACTTCAGGGGAAAAATCAGCGCCATCAGATCTGATATTTTATCTAATCGCGATATGATTGTAAACACATCTGAGGGCTCGATTGTACCTGAGGAGACACTGGACAGCTTTGTCCTGGTTAATGCTGAGAACCTTCAGAAAGTTTTCTCCACAGTGAGATCCACCACATGTCTTTTAGATCCAATTCCTTCTTCACTCTTTAAAACACTTTATGGATTTTTTGAGGCTGAGCTGTTATACATGATGAATTGCTCTCTTCAGTTGGGTGTCTTCCCTGCTGCCTTTAAAACGGCGGTGGTGAGTGTTGTGATATTTTGATACCATGGTAGCATTTACAGGATATTGTTTTATAGTGATATTATACAGGAAACCTGTTACTCAATAAGGCCCATTTACTAGTTGTTTTTCTCTTTCTCTGTGACCCAAGAATTAATGTGTAAGAATCACAGGATGGTACCTCAAGGTTGAAAACACCACAGAGATCACTCCCTTACTCCCATCCTCCCTTCCTTATCTTTTAGAAAAGAGCTTGTTAAAAAGCCAGGTGGTTTGTTTCAGAATTCACTAATGAAAGAACTCTGTATTCTATGTCTAGGAGTGTATTTTGCTGGGATGATCATAAATTGTAGCTGAACTGATAAACTACACAAAGGATACTTCTTTGCTCAGAAGGCAGGAAGACGTTTCCTTATTTGGTCTGTACCGGTTTGAACTGAGAACCTGCTGACACACGAGCCTTTTTTTCTTCTATATAAACTGTTGTCTGATGAATAAACCTTTGAGTTGATTGTGGGAGAGCAACCTGAAACAGTCTATGTATCACTTTGTTCTCCTAACTGCTCCCGGCGCTGTAACTAACCCGCTGAACGGCATACTTAAGCGTTACTTTGAATAATTAGGAGTCTTATAAGGAAAGGACAAAACTCTGCTTATCGGTGATCACGCCTCGGAGGAAACCCGATCCACGGATGAACCCGGGACGGAGATTTCTTTCAGTGAGGCCCCTTCTGAAGAAGAGCAATTTGGATTGTAATGATTTTAATAACTACAGACCTGTATCCAACTTACCATTTTTAAGTAAAGTCTTAGAAAAACTTGTTTTTACTCAGATTACTGATTTTCTCAATGATAGACAGATCCTGGAGATATTCCAGTCTGGATTTAGGGTGAACCACAGCACAGAGACGGCTCTCCTAAAGGTTTTAAATGATCTTAGATGTAACTGGGACGCCCAAAAGCTCTCAGTCCTGGTGCTACTGGATCTAAGCGCAGCCTTTGATACAGTAGACCACGCTATTCTTTTAAACAGACTGAAACACATGGTGGGCCTCTCTGGTGCTGTACACAACTGGTTCACTTCCTATCTCTCTGACAGATCTTTTATGGTGAGTATGGATACATGCTCCTCTAAGATCCATAAAATGACATGTGGTGTGCCTCAAGGGTCGGTTCTAGGCCCTGTACTTTTTAATTTGTATATGTTGCCTCTCGGCAGTGTCATCAGTAGGCATGGAGTGAACTTCCACAGTTACGCTGATGACATGCAGCTGTACATCTCCGTGTCTCCTGATGACACCAGACCAATGGATGCCCTTTTTAACTGTATCTTGGATATAAGATCTTGGATGGCAGAAAACTTTTTACAGCTTAACCAGGACAAAACTGAAGTTTTAATTGTTGGTCCTGAGGCTCAGAGAGAGAAACTCTTGTCTAAATTAGAGGCATTTTCACTATGTCCTTCGCTACAAGTGAAAAACCTGGGTGTTATTTTCGACTCTGAGCTTGGTTTTATCCCACATGTTAAACATGTGACCAAAATTGGATTTTATCATCTAAAGAATATAGCCAGAGTCCACCCTATTCTCTCTCGGGCCAGCACGGAGATGCTGATGCATGCTTTTATTACCAGTCGCATTGATTACTGTAATGCCCTGCTCTCTGGTCTTCCTAAGAAGAATATTTCAACTTTACAACTCTTGCAAAACTCGGCAGCTCGTGTGCTGACGAAGACCAGAGGGCGGGCCCACATTACACCGGTTTTAGAATCGCTGCATTGGCTCCCCGTGTGTTTCAGGATCGATTTTAAACTTCTTTTATTGGTTTTTAAATGTCTTAATGGTCTTGGGCCTTCTTATCTCTCAGATCTGCTTTTACCATACGAACCCTCGCGGACCCTGAGGTCCTCTGGTACTGGCCTTTTAATTGTCCCTAAAGTCAGGACACATACTCACGGAGAGGCAGCTTTTCAGTGGTATGGTCCTCGTCTGTGGAACAGCCTGCCGGAGGAGCTCAGGGCCGCAGAGAACGTACATGTTTTTAAGAACAGGCTCAAGACCCACCTTTTTAATTTAGCTTTTACTTAGCGTTTATTTATTTTTTATGCTTATTTATTCTATCCTGTTATTCTATTATTAATTTAGGATTTACCTAAAATTTATTGATTTTATTCTTATTCATTTTTTAATCTTCTTACTCTATTTATATTTATATTTATATTGTATCCTGTTCTTATTTATTTTATCATTTTACCCTGTATACATCGTATTGCATCATATCTCCAGTGTTTCCTCGGAGGGCGCTCTCTGCACCGGGGCTGTTATTGACCGTGGCTGCTGGTCTCTGGGGTCCTCTCAGCCTGGTTGGGGGCTCCTTGGCCTCCCTCCTGCTGTATGCCCAGCCCGGAGGCTGCGGTCTGTGACCGGCTCCCGGTGCAGACGGCTCTCTGTTATAATGTTTCCTCACTTGGCTCATGCGAGCCCAGCCCAATTTTTACTCCTTAAGTGTGCGCGTGTGTGTATGTGTGTGTGGGTGGGGGGATATATGTGTATTGAGAGTGTGGGGAGTGAGTTGGAGGGTGGGGTGGGCTGCTTTTAACTATGTAAAGCACTTTGTGCTACATTTTTTCTGTATGAAAAGTGCTTTATAAATAAAGATTGATTGATTGATTGATATTTATATTTTCAATTTGACTTACTTTAAATGACTTTAAATGAAAGTCAGCAGGAGTGAGTGACTAACATGAAGCATTTTTCAGTACCTTTGGCTGATTGATATAATTTCTTTTCTTGCTGGAATTGATATTGATACCAACAACCAAATGTAAATGATTCCTAACAGATTTTCAGGTAAAATCGAATAACATGGCCCCTGAGGGTGCCTTATTATTCATGATAAAAATGCTGAGGTTTTGAGGAGAACAAATTTGAAGTTTATTACTAAAAGGACTCAGCATTTGTTAAGTACGTTTAAAACTTTTGGATTTCTTTTAATTTTTTTTTGAGTAAAAGATATAAGAACGCAAATGTGTTTTAAGTAGACTGTAGGGCAGGGGTGGGCAATTCCAGGCCCCGAGGGCCGGTGTCCCTGCAGGTTTTAGATGTGTCCTTGAACCAACACAGCTGATTTAAATGGCTAAATTAGCTCCTCAACATGTCCTGAAGTTCTCCACAGGCCTGGTAATGAACTAATCATGTGATTCAGGTGTGTTGACCCAGGGTGATATCTAAAACCTGCAGGACACCGGCCTTCGAGGCCTGGAATTGCCCACCTGCTGTAGGGCAACACCCAGAGTAAAATGCTAATATGCATATAGAATTTAATGCTCTATATACTCCAAGGAACTTGGAAAGAAAGTGACTGGGCTTCTTTAAGTTCCTTGAAGATGTTTCACCTGTCATCTTGGAGGCTTCTTTAGTTCACTGGATGAGAGGTGAAAAAAATAACTCTTTAAATGAACATAAAAAAAATCATGGAAAGAATTTCCACGTGATTAAATTGCTTTATTTTAGCATTATGCAATTCTGTTACTCCAACTTAATGCACTCAAGTTGGACCAACTTAATTAAAGATTGATGAATCAATGTATTTACTGCATTTTGATCCAATATATTTTAATAGTGTTGATCCAACTTAAAGAGTTTTGTTCCAACTCAATTCAGTAGGTTTTCTCCAACTAATTTACTAAATTTGGTCCCAGCTTAAGTTAATTGAGTTGAACCAACTCATACAAATTAAGTTATTCCAACACAAGTCTTTAATGCTAATAGAAAGCAATTTAATCACGTGGAAATTCTTTCCATGAGTATTTTAAGTTAATTTAAAGAGTAATTTTTTGGAGCATTTAACAAAGTCTAGAGTCTGGTTAACATACATTTCACTATTACATCTAAAAGGTAAATAAAAATTTGTCATACACATCTTTTTGTTTTCTCCAATTTATTGAATTTATAGCAAATTTCACATAATGTATAAAGAATACATGAAATGCAAGTGCAAGTTACATAACAGAAAAAAAAGTAGTGGACAAAGTGGAAAGTTAACCTGTTAAAACAATTTTTTAACAACAATGAATGGCTGAAGCAGGTGATTTTCCGATGACCAATACAACTACTTTGAAGGTCAACAGATGCACTTTCAAAAAAGAAAATACCTGCAATTATTTTAGGTTCATGGTCCAGATACATGGTGTAGCTGTTGTAATGGGAACATTTCTCAATGAGAAAATAGTGTTTTGAGAACCTGTACTTTGTGTGCTGTTGGATAGTTCGTGTGCATCTAATTCCATAAGAATCTTCTGCAGGACCTCAAAGGTGTACCTGAGTTCCAGAGGGTAGCTCAGGTTCAGTGAATAGACCAGGCCAAGCAACATTGTCACTGCAAAAACTACATTGCCCAACTCACCCATCACTTCCACCCCCTCTAGAACAATCACAACATCCTGAGGGTCATCGCCAGGCTCCGCACCCTCTGACCGAATGACACAGATTCCAAAGACTGTCTCTGCTATGGCAGTGGCGATGCTTTTTATCAACTTCCTGTGACAATAAAACAAACAAAAAAAAGATAATGATTTCTCACTAATGTCCATTGCAAACAGTTTTAAAAGTAAATATCTGTTTTACATTAATGTAAAATACCTAAAAGCTTTATTCATTCAAGCCTTATAATAATGTAAATGTAATCAAAAATGACTGCCCGATATTTTTCCTGACTCATGAGAAGTTCATTCAATACCTCAACAATGTCTTTCAAAATCTTGAGTTGTGATAGGGGTGACTGTGGCACAGGAGGTAGAGCAAGTTGTCTACTGGTTTAATCCCTGGCTTCTCTAATCTGATACTAAAACTATCAATGGGTAACATACTGAACCCCAAGTTGCTCCTGATGCATCCATTGAAGTGTAAATGTTACATAAAAATCTTGTATGAATGTGTGTATGAATGAGGTTATTATAATGATATTATAATAATGATAGTATAAAACACTCAAGAATGGTGCGTGTAGTATCCAGTGAGAAACTTAAAGCTCTTACTTTTCCTATTTTAAAAGGTATTTTTTACAGCCACCGGTAATTTATAGGAAAACCCCATCCCCTGAAACTTTTTGTATGTAGTTCTAGCTTATCTTTGATCATCTCCTTAGTTAAGGATACAGGCAAGTTAACATACCAGGTAATCCTTCACCAGCTTCTCAGGATCTTCATTCAGGTACACGCAAAGATCTTTGGCGATGTATTCTCTTCTGATTTCAACAGCATCAGTCTTTATACACAGAGGGGGGAAAAAACAAATATATACGGAAATCCATCTCAACGACCTAGCAGTGGGATTAAAGAACTTTTAGTTGAATTACCAGGAATTTGTGAGAAATACAGAGGCTATTGTTTTACCGTCTTAATCTTTTCAAATAGTATTTATGCATTTTAGACAAGTCTGTCATTTTAATATTGTTTTGTAATTTGTGTATTAATTTAATCATGCCATACCCCCAATTCAAGAAAGTTTAGATGATGTGTACATAAAATCAGAATGCAATGTTTTCTTGGTCTCAAAACTATATGTCACTTACAAATGAAAATATTACATTTTTAACATGGGAATGTGATAACTTTTAAGAAAAATATTAGCTCACTATGAATTTGATGAACTGGCCTGTCAGCTCTCCAGACCTTTCACCACCTGATAAGATTAAACATTTATTATCTTTACAGGAGGGAACTGGAAGTCTCCAAGTTTATTAAGTAGAAAAATATTTAATTTCAAAAAAATTAAAAAACAGGAAAACATATCTGTTCATGTTTTGTCTTTCCTCCTCAGTGTACTAAAAACACATAAATTGTTAAATAAACCACTGTCCATCCGTTGCAACTTACAAACTTACAAATTTCAACAACCCACACGTAAAATGTAAATTTATCACAATAGTCTCTGTGGTAGAGCCAAACTAGCTTATTATAAACAATATCTATATTTGGAGTAGCTAAGTCTTTCATATTAGGCTATCATGCTAGCATGACATTGTGCTATATTCTTGCACTAACGTGTTAGCTAGCTAGAATGGCATAAACAAACAGATATTTAAAAACAAAAACTAATGTGAATAAATAGGACTGAAAAGAATCGACAAACTAATGACACCTTTGTGCAAAAAGTATTTTCATCAAGATGGATGAAGATAGATTCACTCTTACCTTTCCAAGATGACCGTGAAGCAAACCATGTGCTTTCCTGCCTCTTGTTGTTTAGAATCTCACGTGATCTTATGATATCGCGAGTCTTTAAGGCAGCTAACCACTCTTGTTAGATTTTATCATGTCATATCAACAAGAATAAATTTAAGAGGCGCTAAGTTGGTAAATTTCTTGTAGATCTTATATGATTTTATTACGTTCACCTTAGAAACATAAATTCATTGTGTTCAAATTACATGTTAGAGTCTTGTAAATGCAATAACCACCAAATTTCACTTTTTTGAGTGTATACAATGACTGAGAACCTACACAGACATTGACATATATAATTACAACAGTTAAAACTGACTGAGGATTTTGTCATCAGATCTCTGTCTGTATGTTCTGGCCACTGAGGGGAGGGGAGGGACTGAGCTGGCTGTTTTCCCCAAAGGACAGATTTTTTTTACAGGTCTGTCCTTTGTGTTGGACTTGAACTTGAACAGAAATCCTTGGCTTTGAAGGACATTCTTTAGATCACATGACATCACTTGAAGGACATCTACCATGATGGGGAGACAAATGTTTCCACCTACAACAAGTACTTTGGTCAGAGAGTGAATCGTGGCCTTGCTCAAGTTTAAACCTGTACTGTACAGAACTGCTCTATAATAATAGGAATGTGACAGAGCAGGATTAAGGGCTTCTATCACTGTTTGTTGTTCTCTGACAAGTGGAACCAGCCTGAAACAAATATGCTGGATAACAAGGTGTCACCAGCCACCAACCTGTAACACAAATGTTGATTGTTCTTTTCATTCAGTACTCTGTGTTGTGTTGTGAATGGAACTCACTGAAGTTTAAGCCTTTCTTCTTTGTACCATATCATATAACGAGGTGAAGTAGAGACACATATTTTTTCACTGATAAAAAATGTGTTTCCTTTCTCAGTGTTTTTTGCTGTTTGGTCTTTTTAGGTTGTTGTGACTGCAGATTCTATTATTGCAACACTTTTAGTCACACAGTGTTATTTTTGTGTTCATAGTTTTTCTACAGTGTTCCCTGAAAAATTATACATGTGTATGTATATGTAACAATTTATTGTCTCATGTTCCACATATTTACTTTTGTCCAGCTAATTAATTATGGTAAATGGTGTTTGTAATTTCACTTGTGTACAGTGTTTTTGTTTGCAATTATGACATTAAGATGTAAATAAACGAACATACAGGATTTTCTTATCTTGGGGAGCCTCAGTTAGGTTGCTAAGATCTGTAGCTTTACATTGTGGGATGGAGCTTGTTCAGTGAAACATCATAGCTTAAACACTAGTTTGATCCACATCATCAACATGCAATTTAGTTGCAACTACATAAAAACATAACCACACAACACAGAGATGTAATATTTCTAGTTCAAAAATAATCTGAAAACGTTTGACTTTTTACAGAAACTTTTAATCTCTCTTTTCTGCACGGTCAGAAAAACCTTAGGAGAAGTTAAACCACTGGTTAAACCAGAAAGCAAACAAAGAGCCCCTTTTCTTAGTGCTGATATGAGTAACACAAATTTTGATTGGTTGGTTCATTCAGTACATGCTATAATGGATGTAAATTACTGGACAGAAGTTTAAAACTCTTGACTTTCCCTTTATGTGGTCAAACAAGTCACACATGCTTTTCCTGTGCAGCCTTACAGTTCACCTCGCATTGAATGAAATGGCGAACATTGGAGTTTTACTTTACGAGTTTTATGTTGCTGTCATTTTCATTTTTTGGAACTTTGACAAAGGTGAGATAAACTGTATGTTAATTACAATATGAGATCTAAGACAATTTTAACAGTAAAGACTCATTTCATTCCTTTTTTCCACAGGTACAGGCTCAGGTTTCAAAGGATTTTACTTGTGGTGGTGGGAGAATTATTAGTAAGGTGAAGGTGAAAATGTGTGTCATGTCAGACCTGTGGGAGTAACACTGGACTTTCTGTTTCAGTAAGTGTTGAATTTGAAGAGAGTGTTTGTCTTGCTTGACACCTTTATCTGCAGCTCTAACAGCAGTGATCCAAACACAGCAGACTGTGCTGGCAGCAGTGGGAGAAGATGCTGAATTCAGCTGTCAGCTCTTGGAGACTAAAGACGTTGTTCAGGTCACATGGCAGAAAGTCTCACATGATGTGGAGACAAATGTCGCCACCTACAACAAGTACTTTGGTCAGAGAGTGAATGATGGCTTTACAGAGAAATTTAAGTTTAAACATACTGAACTACAAAACTGCTCCATAGTCATCAGGAATGTCACAGAGCAGGATGAAGGCTGCTATCACTGTCTGTTTAACACTTATCCTGAAGGCTCTCTGATAGGTAGACCCTGCCTCCAAGTCTATGGTAAGTACTTATATGTGCTTTAACCGGATTAGACCGAAAGAAACCATGATGCTGTAAAATGGTTTAGAAGCTTGTTTCTTCTTGACAACATAGTCCTTATAGTATTTCCTGATCCTTCACAGAGCTGCATGAACCTGTTGTTGATGTCAGAGAGTCAAACTCTACTGAAGAGTGGGTTGTTTCCTGTTCAGCCACTGGTCGACCTGCTCCCACTGTAACACTCAGTGTCTCACAACAAGACCTCAGCTTCTCACAGTACAACACTGTCAGTGTGTCCAACACCAACGCTACATTCACTGTCACCACTACAGCTGTGCTCTCAGGTTCACGTAACAACAGCACACAGGTGGGATGTGCAGCACGAGTGCTCTCTGCTCCTCACAGAGAGGTGATGGAGACGATTCCTGAGGTCCAGGAGGAGTATGATGATGATGATGATTATGATGATGGTTAGAAACTCTTTTAAAATGATTGATTTATAAATTGGTGATTACTTTGTGATTTTAATGTTGAGGTTCCTTCTAACAGGTCTGAATGATGGATCCTATCACAGAAATTTTGGTGTGTTTACATTTGAATGCTTTACACTCAGGTTTTCTGTTCACTCTATTGTTATTTAGTAGATGTTTCAATGATTATGTCCTTCTTTTCTTTGTTTTTGTCAAAGGAAGGATTTTAGTGATTCTATCCTCTGTGTTGTTGTTGTTGTTGGCCTGTTTTACTACACTCATCTTTGTCTGGCCTAAAAAGAAATCTCAGAGCAGGTACTCTTTCTTATATTCTGTTACTGTTTGTCAATTTGATTCAGCTGCTAAATGTTTCTGCAGTTTTAACTGTATTTGTCACACAGCGAGCTCGAGACAAATGAGATCAATGATGTAAGTCACTCTTTATCTTCTCATTTTGTTTTAATTTAGGAACCAAAACACTTTTAGTCAGATGAGGTGACAATCTGCTCAGAAAACACAAACATCCTGAGGGAGACCATCCAGGGCTCACGTCTTTATCAGGATGAAGATCTGATCTTGACCATTGTTGATTTCTCTTTAATGAAGTGTGGCATTTCTGAACAAAATGGTGCTAGAGTTTGACAAACACAAAACACAAAAACCTGTTCCACTGAAGCATTCAAGAAGCTTTCCTGGTGTTCATGCTGCAACTATTATGTTTGTGCTAAATTTTACTACATTTTTTAAAGGTTTTTTTTATACATAAATTATTAAGGAAAAGGAAACGTTGGTGATAAAAAAGGATTTTTATTTTTTTTTTTTATTTTTTTGGTGGATATTATTACACTTAATTACTTCAAATGAAAACTTTGAAAATCAACAGGAGTGATCAACATAAAATTTTCACTTTAGTCATTTTTGCTCCCATTGCTGAAATTGAAGTTCTCTGTTTGTTGTGAAATTTTACAGATTTTTACAATTCAGTTTGTCAGCATCTATACAAAAATATAGCGCATACATATGGTTAAAGTTTTCACTTAACCCAGGAATGTTGGTTCTATCTAGTTCCATTAAAAATCCATTAAACCATCAAATATTGTTAGCATTATTTTTTATTCATATTTGATTTGATAAACACACAAACAACACTGCACTGCTTATGAAAAATATTTATTTTTTGCTAAAATGCTATAGAATTAATGTAATCGGATGTATACTCCAACGTGTACATGAAGTTATAACAAACTGAAAGCACTTTGTGAGGTTGTTCGTTTTTGGTGAATACAGGGGAAGTGGGAACCCATCTTTCTTTCTTCCTTCATGTTCATCTTATTAATATTTTAATAATAATAAATATAGATAATGAACACGGAAAGCTGTTTTGGTGATTTTATTTTGATGTTTTGTATGATTGAGAATAAAGCAATTAATAAGCTGAGCAATGCTGCTTTGTCTTGTCTGGAAGTAAATAATCTCATCAGTGAACTCTGAATGAAAACTTTGGCTGGTTTGAGCCGCAGTGAGATTCAGTCATTCATTATTAGATGGGAGTTATTCCCCAATATGACTCAGCGTCTGCGGCGAGCTTCACCTTCTCCTGTTTTGTTGAATGAAATAGACAAAATGTGATCAGTACATGTAAGAGATCAGGCGTGTTTCACACCACAGTCTGAGGTGTTGCGTCTCCTTTTAGAGAAACAAAGGCACGTTCATTCTTTTTGCGAGTTCAAAACGAAAGTGAAAGTAAGTCTGTTCCACTGCACTGTGAAGAGGGGACGATGAGGAATAAATGTGCTGTAAAACGACAGACAGGGTTTCCAAAATAGTAAATATTATCAGATTACTGACTTATTAGACATCCAAGTGAAAAATCATCATATGACATGTAGCTGTTGTTAATAAAAGGGATAATCTTTTATTATGTTTTTTTTTTTTCACTGCACACCCAGAGATGGTACGGACTGGTCAAGCGGTAAGATTCAAATTTTTCTTTTTTTTATTTGGCGGCACACAGACAACATGGCAGGACGTAAAATCACACTGATCTTTTCTTTACTGGCGATCTTTTCAAAAGGTGAGAGAGATGCTGTTTTCTTTATGACTTATTGATTTGTAGTAGTCAGTTTGCTCTGTGGGGAGTGTATAAATTTAAGTGTAATCCACTGCAGACAGTCAAAGTGGGTTTGGCAGGTAGTTTGTTTTACAGTTATAGATACAGTTAGTGAATAAGATGGAATTTGTTACTGTGACACTATGAACATCAACAGCTTAAATTCAAGTCAAGTTGCTTCCTTTAGAAGCAAATGCTGTTAGTCAGCAGGCACACTGAGGAACACCTCATTTGAAGCAATACCTAAATTAACTTTTATTTTAATAGTGAGCGGGACATAAAAGTGCACGTGCAGAACATCGAGTCAAATTTGACTGTAAAAAAATAATAAAACACTTAAAAATTTGCTGACTTTGCACACAAAGCTTTATAAAGTTTTATCCCTGGAAGTATAACAACCAGCATGTTTGCTGTTTGAAAATCCCCTCACTTCACTGCCATCCTACAGGTGGGAGGGGCCTAACAACAGCCCCATCCTGGCTGCCAATCAGAAGTGATTTCTTTGGTTTTATTTTCAGTTTTTCAAATGTGCTCTCTGTTCTACAAAAGTAAAAGCATTTAAGAAGTTACCACAGGTGAATTCTGAGCGATCATAACAGGTCATTTTACACTGACGAATACCTCTCAAATCTAAGCAACTCAATTATCATGTAAATTATTAACTAATAGGTCACCTGTAATTGTTGGATGTGCATTGTTGCATTTTCTTTAGTGGTTTACACAGTTTTTTTTATTTGTTTGTTTTTACAGCACAAATGGGCTTTACATCAGTTTGTAATAGACTGCTGGCAAAGAGGTTAGAGTGACAATAAAGTCACTTAACACAGCGAATACATTTTATACTGAAAGTATAAAAGTATAAAAACCTAGAAAAACAGGAGTGAGAGCTTTTCTTTCTCTTTCATTCATAAGATAGTTTATTTATTATTTATATTTTGGATCTTGGTGTTTAAGTGAATGAACATCCTCCATTGGTGGAAGCTGAAGAAGGAAGAATTCTGTACAGCATTTGGGCTCCGGGTGTTAGGGAGTTACCAGCTGGAGTAACATAAGAGTGGAGGAAGGTGGAGTCCATCTCATTCAAAGGTGCAATCTAAAAGAGGCAGGAGACTGCAAGCTGATGTAAGGGGAAGCATCGCAGGGTCGTCTGTAGGGTGACTTTGGACATCAAGAAGAGGAGGCGGGCAAAGTAAATGAGACAAAGGAAAATCAATAGAGTAACAGAAATAATAACAATAATTATAATAATAACAAGAAGATAAAGATGAAGCTTATATAGATCTTTACAATACAATCCACTGTTTCGTTAATTTATAAGATTATTTAAAAGATCCAGCCCAAATTACACTCTGGCCCATCCAAATCTGGGCACTGTGCCTGGTCCCACATCTCTCGTATGTCTCTGTTGTTGCCCAGGACCTAACCTAGCAACAGTCACTGATGCTACAGGCTGTCACTGTGAACTATACCACAATAGTGCAAAACACAAAGCTTAGCCTGCACTGAACTTCCATTTTAGCCTTTGCATATCATGAAATTATTATCATGTGATTTACTTTGAAAGATATTCCACAATGTGACATAATTAGATAACTTCAGCAGCACGTCACGTACAGCTCTGCTGTCTGGTTACAAACATCTAAGTTGATTTAAGAGATTACATGTAACCTTTAAATTTCCATTTTGTAAAGTTTAAGGTGCTGAGCGATCAGAACAGCATATTTGTCTTTATTTTGAATTTGTCTGCCACTTCAAGTTTCTCCATTTATGCTACATCCTGTTCTGTAGTTCTAGCTAGAAACAGAAGAACCTTTAAGAGGACATGTATGATCATGACAGGGTAAAGGTGGCCCATGTGGTGACTTAACTGTTTCTGTGGCATCAGCAGGGATAACCATCAGCCTGTGGTTCATATGCTGCTCAAGCCATTCATAATTTTCGTGTCATTTTCTCTGTGCAGGTCATACATCTGGGATACAAACACAGCACACTGTGCTGGCAGCAGTGGGAGATAAGGCCTGCTTGAACTGTGAGCTCATGCTTTCTAAAGACGTCCTTCAAGTCACATGGCAGATGATCTCAGGAAGTTCAGAAAAAAATATGGCCACCTACAACAAGTACTTTGGCCAGAGAGTGAATCCTGAGTTTACAAAGAAAGTGGAGTTTAAAAATCCTGCACTACAGAACTGCTCCATAGTCATCAGGAATGTGACGGAGCAGGATGAAGGCTGCTATCGCTGTCTGTTTAACACTTATCCTGAAGGAGCCTTCACAGGTAGAACCTGCCTCCACGTCTACGGTAAGGACACGTGGTCTAGAGTTATAGAGGAAACCTATCCACAGCTAAAACTAGATCTCTACATCATCTGCACCCACAGTGCTTGTGGTATTTACTGTTAATGGCAATAATATAGAAAACAAAACAAATGTGAAAAAAAATACAAAATATATTAAAAATAGGAATTGCTCAGTACAGTTGGGAAGTACCAGTTTTACCTCAATACAATATTATCTCAATACTACACTCACAAATTAATATTATTGCAATTCCTAACATTTTACAATATACTGAAAAACCTTCCTCTTCTATATGAATATAACTAGAATACATCCTGGCAGTTGAGTCCCCGTTAGTTGTGCTTATTGATAAAAACTCAAAAGTGTCTTTTTATTAGGAGATAGCTTTGTCAAGATGGGTGCGTTGAATGTTTTTTTGGTTGAGTTGATTTAATGTAATTTTGCACAGTAGTGCATGAGATGAGCCATTTTATTAGGTATTCCCAGACATTTGTTTTGTAATTTATTCAATAACATTTTCATATTTGGTGTCCCTGTAATGATATAATATCACCATGCAAAATATTGAAATACTCTTCTGCATCGGGTTTTCCTCCACCCTTAGTGCTTAGTATGCAGGGTTTCAAAAGACAGGTAAGGAAAGAGACTGTGAAAATTTGTATTTCATACTTTATTCACAAATACTCTGTTTAGAAATTAAAATATTTTATTAAAAGAATAATATTTTGTTTCCTATCCCCAATGTTAAATCATTTTGAAGTTTTTACACCACTCTTCACAGTAAATCTATTTACATAGAGAATGCGATTGCCTAAAACACTGCACAGCTATAGTATACAAATCAGCAACACACACAGGCTTATTTGGATTTTTATTTCCACATTTAATGGTGACTTTTCTTAAATATATTCTCTTCGCAGAGCTGCATGAACCTGTCCTTGATGTCAGAGAGTCAAACTCTACTGAAGAGTGGGTTGTTTCCTGTTCAGCCACTGGTCGACCTGCTCCCACTGTAACACTCAGTGTCTCACAACAAGACCTCAGCTTCTCACATTACAACACTGTCAGTGTGTCCAACACCAACGCTACATTCACTGTCACCACTACAGCTGTGCTCTCAGGTTCACGTAAACACAGCACACAGGTGGGATGTGCAGCACGAGTGCTCTCTGCCCCTCAGCGAGGGGTGACGGTGATGATTTACGAGGTCCAAAAGACACCTGATGCTACTGAGGATGGTGAGAAACATTCAAATTCACAGATTTATAGATTGATGCCCTGCCACTCTAATATTTGGGTTCCTGTTTTTAGGCTCTTATGAGAAGATCACATCCCATAGCAGTGAATCAAGTAAGTTTGCCTTTCCATGTGTGTAATTTGTAAGTGCTTTATGAATGGTGCTCCAAGTCACAGTTTTCCTCTGTTCTCCCAGATTTCACCTGGATCATTGTATTAGTTATGGTGTTGGTGGTTGCAGTGTTAGTGGTGATGTTGTATGTGGTTCATCGCGATTGGATCTCGGCTTTCTTCACTGCTCATTTCAAACAACAAAACAAGACTGGGTAATTTTCACTTTAATATAGTCTCCTCGTAATGTAAGTTTGTCACTGTTAATATAGTAATGATTAACTGACATTAAGAAACTTCACATGAACACCTATAAATCTTTTCAGAAAAACCCCAGTAAATACCATTTATATGTTTTTGCAGTATATAATTTAAATCCTTTAAATGTTTTCATCACTCAGGGACCCAGAGAAGACCAACACACCACTAAAATCAAAGCAAGACATTGATGAGTAAGTACATTTCATAACTATTCATATTTTACAGCATTTTTTCTTTGTCAGTTTTGTTTTTTCCATTTTCTTGTCTGTCAGCTTAACTTCATCCTGATGAAACTGAAGTGTTTCAGTGAATCACACACTTAAGTTAATCACACTTGATTGTTTCATCTCCTTCATGTATGCATTGTTCATGAACTTTAATCTTCATGTATATATACAGTCATCATTTGCTGTGTGAGTGGAAATGAACTCATGTCTTGTTTCTGTCTGAAGGAACAAAACACCTTTAATAGCGCACGAGAACGAGCAGCTCAGGCAGCGGACGTCTACAAAGAAAACTCCAAAAAACATCAGCAGGAAAGACCCTAACCCATTAGCAGCAAAAAGACTGTTTGGAGACGATCAGTCAATCAAAACTAAAATAGATGAACAAACTGCATCACTGGCTGATTAAATAAAGAGGACCGTGTCAACAACAAAGATTCCTACCTGATATTTCTAGACAACACTAATAAGAATTCAATAAAGAGAGATCAGTGGGAAGAAATGAACATGAGTTATTAAAATAGAGAATTTAATGTACTTGGTGATTAGACTCTGATGACCCGCCACGTCAGAACGGAGGCTTGGATGGAGCTCTGACTGAGCTGTCTGTGAGGTGGAGACAGGGAGGAGGTGGGCTGAATGAATAACATGTACAACTGATTAATAATAGTTATTCTGCTTCATAGACATTTGTTTGTTATATCATACTGTTAACATGTAATTGGTTATAAAGTTTTGATATTTTGTAACATGGATTGTAATAGAGTAAAATAAGCTGTGAAGTGTGTTAAGTTGTTTCTGCAGATTAAATGAGGACTGCAGAGATGTGATTTATTTCCAAATGTAACTCAGTGTGTGCTGCAGATCTGCATCTAATATACACAGAAAGAGCACATGATGGCACTGTTGGTTCAAACTAACTGAGGAAGTTTTGCAACTGTCAAAGGACCATGCCTGTAAACATTACTCTAAGAAAACCAAATGTTAACGGTGTTTCTGGTTAGTTATTATTATATAAGTATAATGTTTTTATTATCTTATGGCAAAACTCTAAATAAATCAATTTGTATCTCCTATTTTCTCCTGCTTATGAGCTCATGTTTTGTTTAAAGTTGCATAGACTCCAAGTGCTTGTCTAAACAGATTAGTCATGTTTCACAACTTAATCCGAGGTATTTGAAGCGTTTCATCTTACATTTGTCAGTCTGTCTGTGCGAGTATTCTAAACGAAAGTAGAAGTAAGTTGTTGGTCTGTTCCACTGCACACTGAAGAGGGGACAATGAGCTGTAAAATAGCAGAGAGGTTTTACAAAAAGAAAAATGTTTATCAAGTCAGTGACTTATTAGCTATCACATCAAACACCATGAAATGTTGTGTAGCTGTTATTAGGAAGAAGGATGACTTTCACTTTGCTGTTTTTCACTACACTCCCAGTGACATTTTGGACTGGCCGAACGTTCAACGTAAGTTCAAAATTGGGCGTTGTTTGTTAGCTTTTTAAATTTGGTAATATGCAGACAAAATGGCAGCACGCAGTCACAATTGTCCTTTCATTGCTGGCAGTCTTTTCAAAAGGTGAGAGAGACACTGTTTTCTTTATTATTTTTAATGATTTTAAAATGACTTGCTCTCACTTTGCTCTGTGGTAAGTGTCTAAAATGATTTGACAGACGGTTCCAGTGTAACGGGGCGAAAGAGAGAAGAAATCCTCTAAGCTGTATAAAAGGTAGAATTAGGAAAGTGTTACTAAAGAAAGCCATCGGCTTAAATTGAAATTGACCAAACATAATCTTAATAAAACTAGTGCTTTCAGTTTGATTTCCAAATAGCTGATGAGTAACTAATTATTGTGCTTCTAAAAACTGGAGAGCTGCTCTATGCTCCCTCAGAAACTCAGAAATTATGTTCTTAATAGCATTTTTTGTTTTGGGTCCATCTCTCTCTCCCTCTCTCTCTACATATATATTATATACATATATCACACACACACACACACACACACACACACACACATACATATATATATATTCAAAACACAGAAACAAACCCCACCCCAGAGGGATCAATCAATTGTAATTTGTAAATTCTAAACACATTTCAATTACTTTTATTTTCCACAATAATTAGTTAACACAGTAAAATACACCTTTCAACTGAAACTGAAATGTAAGTATGCCCTAAAACTAACCCAATCAAACTACAAACATATATAGAAACAAGAGCACAGGTGTTCTTTCCACTCAATTTAAATAAAGGAGCTACAGTCTAACCGATGCACCCTGGTGGTCACATGTTTTTATGAATCATCAAATTCTTAAAACCATTGCAACAATGGACAAATCAGTCTACTGAAGTAATAGCTATAGCCACCAAAAACACTTTAAACACACATTAAATAAATCTCAAGATTCTCTATTAGTCATGACTGAAACATTACTTTCACCACTACAAGAGCTATGTGGCTCATTGCCTCTCTGAAAGGACTGACAGTGAGCCTCTGTCTCTGCACTAGGACTCTGGGTCTTCTCTTCGATTTTCACCCTCCTGTCCAGTGGCAGTCCTAGCCCGTTTGGCGCCCTGGACGAACACTCCCTCTAGCGCCCCCCCCCCACACACACACACACACAAAACATATTAAGGATTGTACATTAACATAAAGCTGTTGTACACACACATAGATATGAGGAGAGAGAGAGTATGCATGCAAACGGATACCAAACAGCCATCATAATTTGTCATACAATGAGCACAGGGCAAATCAACAATTGACAATGACTAATTAATATTAAAATCTGTAACATAATGTATTGTTTGGAGTTTAGTCTGTTACTGTTACTATTTTTACCATTTCTTCTTGGAGCAACTGTAACACACATTATTTCCTTAGGGATTAATAAAGTATTCTGATTCTGATTGTTTCAGGATGAGCTGCCATTATCCAATGACACATCTGCTTACCTGCATCTTTTGCTCGTTTCTCCTCCTCTTCTTTTCTCTTTTTTCTAAACTGAGCACCTGATGGCTTTGAACTTTTCTTGTCCATCTTCCATTGGTTTTAATTTTGCACTCCAGTATGAACACCCATCCCTCAACCCAAGGATCACCCCAACATGATCTAACACACCTACACCTTAGTTCACAGATTCACTTTGTCGAGGGTTTATTTCTGGGATTTCACACAACCCAGGATTCAAATCATGAATACATAATGGGCTTGGATTTACAACATTATAAATGAAATGTGCTCTATTTGGAAGCAGCCGCCCCCCCTCCCCTTTCGACGGGTTGTGTGAGACTTTAAATCAGCAAACTGTAAATTATACATTTTAAATTGTTATTGATCCCTTTACCCCGAGTCCTAACGTGTATATTTATTTTCTTACTCTTCTTATATTTACTGTTCGTTTACTTGCACTGCTGTAACTGGAGCCTTGTCGTCTCTCTATATACTGGACTGTATGCAGCGGAGATGACAAGAAAGTTTACTTTGACTTCAGCAGCGAGCAGGCGCACCGAGGGCTCTCGCGCTCACTTTTCGTGTATAGAATTTCGAAAAAACATCGGTGCAAATTATAAGTCTGTATTATGATGTCTGGTGTTTTCGTGTTTGTTGGTTTGTTTTTATTTTGCGAGCTGGTTATTAGATGCTGCTCCAGCCGGCTCTCCTCTCTGCAAGCAGCAGGCGCACCTCGCAAACGAAGGGCGCGCTTACTCCCAGCAAATGGGCGATAGAAAACCGATCGGTGGCTCTGCCATTCCCAATATGCGCTGGCATGACGTCGGGGCAGCACCAGTACGAGCATTTTTTATTATTTATTTATTTTTTGCCGCTGCCCGTGATGCCGCCCCCCACCACGATGCCGCCCCGGGCAACCGCCGGGGTCGCCCCTATCTGAAACCGCTACTGCTCCTCTCTTTACTCTTTTGCTGTTCGTGCCAAGACAAAGTACTCCTTTTCGTGGTCTTTCATGTATGTATGTTTGAAGAGTTTCATCTTACATTTGTCAGCCTGGCTGTTCGTTTCAAACGAAAGTGAAAGTAAATTGTTGGTCTGTTCCACTACACACTGAAGAGGGGACAACGAGGAATAAGCGTGATGTCAAATGGCCGAGAGGTTTTACAAAATAGTAAAATGTTTATCAAATCAGTGACTTATTAGATTTCCCAATGAATGCTTTGTATTTTATGTAGCTGTGATTAATGAGAGGGATCATGTTTTGCTTTGTCGTTCTCACTACACACCCTGTGACATGGACTGGCCGAGCTTCTCTTGTGCAGTTTGCAGTTTTGAAATTTAGCGGTAAACCGATAACATGGCAGGACGCGCGATCACGTTTGTCTTTAGTTTGCTGGCGTTTTTTTCAAACGGTGAGTGAGATACACTGTTTCATTTATGAATTTATTTATATTAATTCGATCTGCTGTAGTCAGTTTGCTCTAAAGTGATCTGACGGATGGTTTCTGGGCGATAGACAGAAGAAATCACTCTAACATATAAATTTAGAGTTAAGAAAGTGTTACTAAAGAAAGTCATCAGCTTAAGTTGAAATTGATGAAGTGTGATCTCGACTAACTTTCATTTTCACGGTTGGAACATAAAAGCTGCATTTACATCAAGTCTGACAAAAAAGAAACGCCGGATGTCACTAACAGGTAGACCTACAGCCATAAAACGGTGATATTTAAACGTTTTAAGGGTCTGTTTTAACAGACGCAGCTTTCACAGTAGGCGTTTAGTTGATGAGGGACTGCAGAGAACAATTGGATGCAAGTTAAGCTCTCACACCGGGTAGCAATCAGTCAACCAATTCCGTGTTTAATACCTTAATACTCAATACTCTAATTTTTGGTAATGAGCCAATAACAAGTTAATACGGAGCTGGTGTTGACAATACCGGTACCAACAGTAATAATTAGAATTGTTGACAACTATGTTGATCAGTGACTGGTGAACAGTAATTGATTAACAATAATTAGTCAAAATTTATATTCACTTTAATGGTTAAGTCACTTGTCACAAATCTTATTGTTTCCAACCATGGTGTACCAGCATTTGTGAGCCAAAAGTTGAGTTGCTTGTAAAAACTGTCGCACATGTTATATTTTGAAACCTTCATCCTTTGCAGAGCTTCATCGACCTGTTCTTCATGTCAGATTTCACAGGTGGCATTGTTAGACACTGATCGGTATCACGTAGTAAAACTTCCAGCATTATATTGAAAAGTCTGCAGTGTAGATAAATAATTCAAACTAGTTCGTCACAGCTTGATTTCAGCAGGTATATGATGCAGATAACTATTAATAAATACTCAGATATCATATTAACCATTTCTTCCTCCTTTTTATTGATGAAAAAGCTGATCAAAAGCAGGATCATTGTTGCTAAATGTCAAACACAAAGACGTAATGTCAGAAGAGTTCCTGGGATAAACAACTGTAAGAGGCAACGTGGAGGTGAAAGAGAGTCTCAAGGAGATGCACCTTTTTAATGTCTTTAATTATCATTTGTAATTTGGATGAGTTCGGAATGACAAACATAGTGGATAATTAGAGAGCCAAGTGTTTGTCTTTTGAACACATGTAGATCCTACATAATACTTCTGCACGTCTTTATTAATATTGTGAATTTAATTGATTTGCCAAAAAGAAACATAACACACATCTTACTGGTAGCACTGTTTTTGTTTTTGAAATTCCATATTAGACATCCAATAATATCATTGAAGTACATTATTTTATTCACATATGTGAAACCTGATACATTGTTATTATTTAGTGCCATAAATTAAACTCAGTCTAATCCCTAGCCCGAATTATTGTTTCAGTCTTCCCATCAAGAGCACTCAGTTCATCTTTAACTGATGTTATTCTCCTACAGCTCTAACAGCAGTGGTCCAAACACAGCAGACTGTGCTGGCAGCAGTGGGAGAAGATGCTGAAGTCAGCTGTCAGCTCTTGAAGACTAAAGACGTCCTTCAGGTCACATGGCAGAAAATCTCTCCTGATGTGGAGACAAATGTTGCCACCTACAGCAAGTACTATGGTCAGAGAGTGAATGATGGCTTTACAGATAAAGTTGGGTTTATATACACTGGACTACAGAACTGCTCCATAGTCATCAGGAATGTGACATATGAGGATGAAGCCTTCTATCACTGTCTGTTTAACACTTATCCTGAAGGCTCTCTGACAGGGAAACCCTACCTCCAAGTTTATAGTAAGAACTTTTACCTCAAACAAACATACTGGAAATAAATGTGTGAGCAGCTGGTGTGTTTGTAAGAACATGTTGATGATATCTCCTGATCCTTCACAGAGCTGCATGAACCTGTTGTTGATGTCAGAGAGTCAAACTCTACTGAAGAGTGGGTTGTTTCCTGTTCAGCCACTGGTCGACCTGCTCCCACTGTAACACTCAGTGTCTCACAAGAAGACCTCAACTTCTCACAGTACAACACTGTCAGTGTGGCCAACACCAACGCTACATTCACTGTCACCACTACAGCTGTGCTCTCAGGTTCACGTAAACACAGCACACAGGTGGGATGTGCAGCACGAGTGCTCTCTGCTCCTCACAGAGAGGTGATGGTGACGATTCCTGAGGTCCAGCAGACGTCTGATCATGAATATGGTGAGAAACTCTTTCAGTCACAAATTTATAGATCGATTATATCTGGGTTAGTTCGACTGAGACCTAATATCAATGAACTTAGTACTTCTGCATTTCCTTTTTATCCATGATTAATGTATCCGTGTTGTTCAGTGTCACATTTTCCTTGCTTTTCTCTCAGATTCCACCGTGATAATTGTATCAGCTGTAGTACCGGTGTTGGTCCTTGGTTGTGTAATTCTGCTCGTCACTGTTCGTCTTAAAGAAAAAGACAAGCAGAGGTAACTTTCACATGTGGTTTAATATGTGTCTTCTTGTTAATATGATAATATATGGTGTCATTCCTGGATATGTTAATATAATAATGATTTATGACCCTAAGAACCTAACCCACATCTATCCAGTAATAGCTGCAGATATTTATAGTACTGACTTTAAACTTTAAACCTTAAATCCCTCTGTCACTCAGGGACCATGAGAAGAGCAAAACACCACAAAAGTCAACCAATAAGATGGACGGGTAAGACTGTTTGATAATTATTCAAATTCTTTTTGTTATTTTTTTCATTAATTCGTGGGAATATCATTTAACCTGCTAGGACCTGGCATCCACATATGTGGACATCACATTTTGGGTTATTTAGACCAAAATACAAAATTTTGCTCTAGGGCCTGATATCCACTTACGAGGACATTATACTGCTACTGTTCTATCAAAATTTTAAATGAATATCCTCATGTGGCTCTCATTTTTCTTAGAAACAAAAATCAGGTAAAAAAAAATCTGGTAATTCTTTGTTTTTACATTCATCGGGCCCCAATATTCATAATATTCATCGGGCCAAATATCAAGGAGAAATTAAAAATGCATGCCGTGTTTTTGAACACCCAGCCACAAACATCTGCTGCACATACACTAGTAGAAGTAGACTAGTATTAGCAGATGTTTTCCAGGTGGTTGCTCCCAAACCTGTCTACATGTTTCAGCATTAATGGTCTCTTCACCGATGTCCACCATGGGCACGAGTCCACCCCAGATGGTCCCTCTCTTCTGTAAATGGTAAATGGCCTGTATTTATATAGCGCTTTACTAGTCCCTAAGGACCCCAAAGCGCTTTACATATCCAGTCATCCACCCATTCACACACACATTCACACACTGGTGATGGCAAGCTACATTGTAGCCACAGCCACCCTGGGCGCACTGACAGAGGCGAGGCTGCCGGACACTGGCGCCACCGGGCCCTCTGACCACCACCAGTAGGCAATGGGTGAAGTGTCTTGCCCAAGGACACAACGACCGAGACTGTCCAAGCTCGAACCGGCAACCTTCCAATTACAAGGCGACCTCCCAACTCTTGAGCCACGATCGCCCCCCTGTAACTTTGAGGATGTGGTCCATGATTTCTAAGATGAATTTCAGGTGGTGATCGGTCAGACCACACAACAGTTTTGGACTTTGTGTCAGTCCCACGGTCCCAGAGAGGGTGGTGTCATTCCTGGATCTAGTTTGGTTTTCTGTTCACTGTCACAGTGTCGTCTGTTTTCAGTGTAGCCTGAGAGTCCAAAGATGATGATCACTCAGTGTGTGCAGAGATATCGCCAGATTCTCTGAATCTTTAAATAGAGCAGATGATGGAAACTCTACAATGTTTGGACAAAGATTGTTCCAGATGTGTTGTTGTTTGTTCACATTCAAATGTGTAAACCTGAGCCATTTCAGAGCACAGAGGCTTTTGCCTGACCACGCTTCCAAAGACTCAGCTACCTCTGGGGCTCTTTTTATATTTTATCATATCATTATATATCATTTCTGTTACCTGTTGCCAGTTTATCTCATTGATTATAACATACTTCACCAGATATCTGTATGCATTGCATAATATCTTCAGTCTTTTTTGTCTCTGTCCCAAATGTTCTGAAATGTGTTCCTGGCATGAAATTCAAATGAGATTTTTTTTTTCATATAATTAAAATGTCTCAGTTTTAATATTTCATTTTTTTGTCTTTGTACCATTTTATTTAAATATACATTTTAAATGTATTTTTAAATTGTTGTATATTGTTTTTACACGACAAACAGAATTCAGATGCTTTAGAAATGTGGTGGCGTTATTGAAAGTAGTAATGATCTCATATTTTGTTTTTATCTAAAGGAACCAAACACCTTTAATCAAGATGAAAAGCGAGGAGATAAGACAACGAACACCAAATAACAACAGCCCAACAAATGATCCCATAAAACCACCATCACGAGCAGCAAGAAAACTTGAGCTGTAAATAAATATTTACTCATATATGCTTAGAAGTATATAATCATGTGTAGATTGAAAGAATGTCTCATCCTAGGAGGTCTGTTGAAGAGGGGGGTGCGTTCACTCCTCTACAGAGTGTTCTGGCATAGATCACACACCTCCTAGGAGAGGTCGTATCTTCTCTTGCTGATATATGGTATAGCATGTATATCTGTTTGAGTGTAAGAGCCTTTTGTGTGACCTAATTATTTGTCATGTCACATTTTTTGTTCTATTTGAAGCACAACTGTATTAAATTGTATTGATTAACAGCAGCAACATGTTGTAACAGTAGAGAGCTGTTGCTCGTTAAAACGAGTGCTGCAGCATTTTTATCAGGATGAGTTTTGGACTTTGGTCGTTGCAAATTTGATTCTTTTAAGTATTTCGCACCTTAAGTGAACACTGTTGTGGACTACATTTTTTATTAGCACTTTTTAATATTTTTGTTATCTTCTTTTGAACACCACACTAAAAAACTGCATTACTGTAACTTTCCATTTTTACATTGACAATGAAGCTGTTGAACCTTGAATTGTGTGTTGACACATATTTGTTAGTGTAGGTTTTTATTGTAATGGTTGAAGCACTTTTAACATTTTAATTTCAAAATCATTGATTATGATAAATGATCACACGGCAATCTTAATGTTTGGGTTTCTTTTTCTAGGTTTGGATGAAAAATCTGGATCCATCACTAGAGAGTTTAGTATGTTTGCTTTCACATATTTATAAATTCCTGTTCAGTCTGTTTTACCTTTATAGTGCTTGACTTTATTACATCTTTCTCAGTCTTTTTCTTAAGATATTCATAATCGCATCTGTGGTTGTGGCCTGTGTTACTGCACGTAACTGTTTAATGTCCTAAATAAATAAATAATCAATGCAAATTTTCTGACTTGTCTCTGTTGTGCTTTTTATCCTTCTGTTGTTGGGTCCAATCCAGTGTACCACAAACTCAGATACTTTGCTCACTTTCAGTCCTTTTACTGCACTCTGAGTACTTTAACCACGCAGTTATAATTCAATAATTGTGAGTGAGATCAGACAAGAAGCAGCATGAGACGTCTTTGCACAGCTATTTATTAACTTTGGTAAATAATAGATGCTATATTCACAAATGTGAAAAAAGTGTGATGCGGATTTTCACCTTCTATTTCATTAAAAATGGCCACGAGATGGCGCTTTACATTCAAGATTATAACCGCTTGTCTCGTTAATTTAAAACATAGAACTGTAACATTTTATTGTGATTACCAGATAGAGTTAGGGACGCGGGTTCTGTAATATGAGTTATATTGGGAAGACGCTGACCATTTAAGGTGGTGACCTGCAAGGAGTGGGGAAATGCTTGTGTGTTAACTTTGAGTTCGAGAGCCAGGGAAGCATCCATGAAACTCTGCTCCACCCCGGAGTCAATCAGTGCCTGAAGGGAGTGGGAGGCAGAGTGGACAGTCACTTTAGCAGCTAGCATGAAACGTGGAGGAGAATGTGAAAAGGAGACCTTTCCCAGAGAGGGACAGAGAGAAAGAGCCAGGAGCAGGGATATTATGATCAGCGCCTTGCTGATCCTGCAGGTCGTGACACAGAGATTATTTCCCGTTCTTGACTAATAAATTATGTTTTAGAACTTGAGTGGTTCCCATCTATTACCAAGTAAAAGTATTTATTGGCACCTTATTTGAATTTTTCAGGATGACAAATTTTTAATGTTTTGCTTGTTTACTGGCGGTCTTTTCAAAGGGTAATTTTCATTCCATTACAAAGTTATGCTGTTGAATCATTATGATCGCTTTCAAGACCAATATTATAATTTGGAATCCAAAATGCCTCGTCAGTTTTAGTTGATTTATGGGAAATCTTTGAAAATTCAGAATTCGTAAATATGCATTAAATAATGCACAGGATTCTCTATTAGTCATGACTGAAACATTACTTTCACCACTACAAGAGCTATGTGGTTCATTGCCTCTCTGAAAGGACTGACAGTGAGCCTCTGTCTCTGCAGTCTGGGTCTTCTCTGGGATTTTCTCCCTCTTCTCTTTAGTCTTTGCAGTTCGTGCCAAGAAAAAGTACTCCTTTTCGTGGTCTTTCATGTATTAAATACAGCTTACATGTCTTGATACTTCACAAAGCTGTTTTACTAACTAACTAATCGAGCTTTGCACCACTTCATAATGTCCGTAACTCTGATAAATAATAGCTTCTACTTCTGTTTCATGGGCAAATCTTAGTATCATACTGTTAAAAACAATTAATTAGATATAATGTTTTGATATTTTGTAACATGGAGTGTAAGATGTGAAGTGTGTGATGTTCTTTCTTCTTGTGTTGAAGTCAGTGACCCCATAAGTGCAGATTAAATATGAACACTGCAAATTTGAGCAGCAGTGAGATTCAGTCAGTCCTGCTTATGTGGAAAGAGCTCATGTTTTGTTTACAGTTTCATAGACTGCAAGTGCTCGTCTAAATACATTAGATATGTTTCACAACTTAATCTGAGGTGTTTGAAGAGTTTCATCTTACATTTGTCAGTCTGGCTGTGCGTTTAAAACGAAAGTGAAAGTAAGTTGTTGGTCTGTTCCACTACACACTGAAGAGGGGACAACGAGGAATAAGCGTGATGTCAAACGGCCGAGAGATTTTACAAAATAGTAATTTTGTAGCTGTGATTAATGAGAGGGATCATGTTTTGCTTTGTCGTTCTCACTACACACCCTGTAACATGGACTGGCCGAGCTTCTCTTGTGCAGTTTGAAGTTTTGAAATTTAGCGGTGTAGGAAGTATGTAAGTCACAGGAGGGTGATGTGGGGTGAAATGAGCGGTGGAAGGGAACTTACATTTGAAAAAGTGGTTAATAAGTTAAGTCATGGTGAAGGGAAAGTGGTGGTTTTTCGTTTTTTGAGAAGTACTGGTCTCATCAAGAGGATCTGAGGATTCAGGAGTGACGGACGGTTACCAGACAGGAGATGGCGGTAATGCAACAGTTTTGGATGCAAGCTGCCGTTAAACTTGACTGAAGAAGAAGAAGAAGAAATTTAGCGATAAACAGACAACATGGCAGGACGCGCAATCACGTTTGTCTCTAGTTTGCTGGCGTTTTTTCCAAACGGTGACTGAGATACACTGTTTCATTTCTGAATTTATTTATATGAATTTGGGCGATAGACAGAAGAAATCACAACATATATTGAACGAGTATAAATTTAGAGTTAAGAAAGTGTTACCAGAGGTGGGACCAAGTCATTGTTTTGCAAGTCTCAAGTCAAGTCTCAAGTCTTTATCCTCAAGTCTCAAGTCAAGTCTCAAGTAATGTAAGGCAAGTCAGAGTCGAGTCTCAAGTCACTGGTGTAAAAGTCCGAGTCAAGTCACAAGTCTTAAACTTTGAATTTCAAGTCCTTTCGAGTCTTTAAAAAAAACAAACGAAAAAATAATGTTGCAGTTATATGCTAAATGTAAATATTAGACCATGTAATTTTTAAATCTGTGTTTTTCTCAACACATGACAAAATAGTGAACTTAGAAAATATACACAAATTGTGAAATTGCACCTCTTTAAAATGCAGCTCAATTAAACCTAGCTCCAAGAATAATTTTCACCGACAGTTCTGAGATAAGCTGCATGTTATTCTTGGATGCGGTTGTAGGACCAGCTTTAAAATCGCATGACAAAAATATCATACACATTAAAAAAAACTGTATCACCAACGTAGCCTGGACAACATTTGCTAGTTAGATGAAGTCAGCTATCTCATCTTAGCATATTTATATGCATATTTATAATTATACAGTTCTTGGAGTGAGTGCATACACTCATGAAATTTAGTAACTTCAGGTCACTGCAACAAGCCCAGGTACAGTTTACCTACGGATGGGTACAGGGACCATGAAATGCACCGTGTAGAACGAAAGACCATCGTACGTATCATAAGTTTACCAGTCTCACAAATTGTCGTCATAAATACACATTCCTTAACCGTTTATTAATAGGACCTTTGAGCTCAACAGTAATTAATTAGTAGTGGAAATAATTTCTGGTACCCGTCACAGAAATGTAGCAGTGACAATAATACTGTATGCTGTAATCGTACTGGGCAATTAGTGATACAAAACAACTGTTTTATCCTGTGAATAAAAGTATATGTTTTTGTCAATGTACCATAATAACAGAAGCGAAACGCAATATTGTGTCAGGACAATTCACTATTTATGCACAATAAATAAAGGAGCATAGCGCGACAATTTCTGTTCTTGCTTGTAACCTATATCACCAATTATGTTAAGAAAAATGACGCATTAACTACAACAGCAGACTGATCTTTGTGTAAATGCTTGGAGCAGACTAACCTGTGAGCTGGAGTGTTCTGGGACGTTATATTTGATCTTTGAATGGCTGCAATCCAGGCCATCCGTCGCATCTTTGTTACTTCGGAAACATGAACAATTTCTCTTCAACGACGTAATCCGATAACAACCGATCTCTTTACCCGTCGGCTTCCCGTGGCTGTCATGCGACCGGCTATTGCAGTTAATAATACAACAGCTTCTTGACATTTTTGTGTTTCTTTTTATCGCTGTATAACTGATTTTAATTGAAAGCCTGCGTGCGCTAGTACCGCTTGCCACGAGTTCCCAGAATCCTTTGCGGTTCTACCCGTGAATGACGTCACATTTTCAATCTCTATATAATATGCATGTTAAATTTTATATTTGGGGTAAAATATCAAGTCTTTTCAAGTAAACTGGTTCAAGTCCAATTCAAGTCCCAAGTCATTGGTGTAAAAGTCCAAGTCAAGTCACAAGTCTTAGAACATTTTTTCAAGTCAAGTCTAAAGTCATAAAATTAATGACTCGAGTCTGACTCGAGTCCAAGTCATGTGACTCGAGTCCACACCTCTGAGTGTTACTAAAGAAAGTCATCAGCTTAAATTGAAATTGATGAAGTGTGATCTCGACTAACTTTGATTTTCACGGTTGGAACATAAAAGCTGCATTTACATTAGAGCAGGGCGATATGACCAAAAATATTTATCACGATATACATTTAAAAATTTGCAATAACGATATAACTGACGATATAATTGACACTAGACAAAATACTTTACAACTCCTCAACTTTATTAGTGCAAAAAAAAAAACAACCCATCAATGTATTTTCACTTAAACAAGCAGCTTTTTTAAGTGCATTAAAGTTATATAAAATATTAACAGTGCAAATGCAAATTCCTCGCTGACAGTTTAACCAAAAGTCATTTCCAGTGGAAATTGGCCGACATATCCTCAGCATAACCATGTATAATATCCGGAAAACTTAAAAAGATGTTATACACACACAATACGGTAATATTATGTTGAAGCACAGTACTATCACTCCGCGGGGCGCCTGACTACGGTAGCCGTAATGCTCCAACAATCATCAAGCAGTGCGGCTTCGTAGCTTAGCAAAGTCATACTGAAACATTTGACAGATTTTCTAGCGCCGTGTACCACATAAAATCCTTTCGAGGTCAGTAAACAACCAGAATTCATACAGAAGGCACACGGGATTATAAAGGGCACTGTCGATTTTCAGAAAAAGCAAAGGATTGATTTTAAGTGTGCTGTATTTTCCAAAAAACAGGGTAATAACGAAGGCCCGCTAGCATGCGCTACCAAAAATAGTGCTTTGTTGTGTATCTGACGGATGAAAGCTAAACCAGTTCCACACTACTGAAGTTGCAGCATTTATACAAACCAATTCTGGTTCATCCGTTTCATTTAACGATCCACTTTCGCCCTTCTCATTCTGCATCGCCGCCATGTGCGTATGTAAACAAAGGCACTGCGCATGCGCGTTTTACCCATATTCTATCGCGATATTTCATTTTCCTATCGTTGCCCAACATTACACCGGTATTACCGTGAACGTTATGATATAGCCCAGCCCTAATTTACATCAAGTCTGACAAAAAAAAAGAAAAAGAAACGCCGGATGTCACTAACAGGTAGACCTACAGCCATAAAACGGTGATATTTAAACGTTTTACAGGTCTGTTTTAACAGACGCAGCTTTTACAGTAGGCGTTTAGTTGATGAGGGACTGCAGAGAACAATTGGATGCAAGTTAAGCTCTCACACCGGGTAGCAATCAGTCAACCAATTCCGTGTTTAATACCTTAATACTCAATACTCTAATTTTTGGTAATGAGCCAATAACAAGTTAATACGGAGCTGGTGTTGACAATACCGGTACCAACAGTAATAATTAGAATTAGAAAGGCAGGTTAGGTAATGTTATTTGTGTTAATTAAGGGTTTTGTTTGTTTGTTTGTTTGTTTTTTTATTTTCCAATGTAACACGTCTCATTGGGCTGAATGTATTATATTTAAAGTCTGAATATAGTCTATAGGTAATCAGTCTATTAAAATGACAACTATGTTGATCAGTGACTGGTGAACAGTAATTGATCAACATAGTTGTCATTTAGTTGTCACGTAGTAAAACTTCCAGCATTATATTGAAAAGTCTGCAGTGTAGATAAATAATTCAAACTAGTTCGTCACAGCTTGATTTCAGCAGGTATATGATGCAGATAACTATTAATAAATACTCAGATATCATATTAACCATTTCTTCCTCCTTTTTATTGATGAAAAAGCTGATCAAAAGCAGGATCATTGTTGCTAAATGTCAAACACAAAGACGTAATGTCAGAAGAGTTCCTGGGATAAACAACTGTAAGAGGCAACGTGGAGGTGAAAGAGAGTCTCAAGGAGATGCACCTTTTTAATGTCTTTAATTATCATTTGTAATTTGGATGAGTTCGGAATGACAAACATAGTGGATAATTAGAGAGCCAAGTGTTTGTCTTTTGAACACATGTAGATCCTACATAATACTTCTGCACGTCTTTATTAATATTGTGAATTTAATTGATTTGCCAAAAAGAAACATAACACACATCTTACTGGTAGCACTGTTTTTGTTTTTGAAATTCCATATTAGACATCCAATAATATCATTGAAGTACATTATTTTATTCACATATGTGAAACCTGATACATTGTTATTATTTAGTGCCATAAATTAAACTCAGTCTAATCCCTAGCCCGAATTATTGTTTCAGTCTTCCCATCAAGAGCACTCAGTTCATCTTTAACTGATGTTATTCTCCTACAGCTCTAACAGCAGTGGTCCAAACACAGCAGACTGTGCTGGCAGCAGTGGGAGAAGATGCTGAAGTCAGCTGTCAGCTCTTGGAGACTAAAGACATCCTTCAGGTCACATGGCAGAAAATCTCTCCTGATGTGGAGACAAATGTCGCCACCTACAGCAAGTACTATGGTCAGAGAGTGAATGATGGCTTTACAGATAAAGTTGAGTTTATATACACTGGACTACAGAACTGCTCCATAGTCATCAGGAATGTGACATATGAGGATGAAGCCTTCTATCACTGTCTGTTTAACACTTATCCTGAAGGCTCTCTGACAGGGAAACCCTACCTCCAAGTTTATAGTAAGAACTTTTACCTCAAACAAACATAGTTGATATAAATGTGTGAGCAGCTGGTGTGTTTGTAAGAACATGTTGATGATATTTCCTGATCCTTCACAGAGCTGCATGAACCTGTTGTTGATGTCAGAGAGTCAAACTCTGCTGAAGAGTGGGTTGTTTCCTGTTCAGCCACTGGTCGACCTGCTCCCACTGTAACACTCAGTGTCTCACAACAAGACCTCAGCTTCTCACAGTACAACACTGTCAGTGTGTCCAACACCAACGCTACATTCACTGTCACCACTACAGCTGTGCTCTCAGGTTCACGTAAACACAGCACACAGGTGGGATGTGCAGCACGAGTGCTCTCTGCTCCTCACAGAGAGGTGATGGTGACGATTCCTGATGATGATGATGATGATCATGAGAAATTCTTTTAAAATCAATGATTATGATAAATGATCACACAGCAACCTTAATGTTTCTGCATTTTCTTTTTCTAGGTTTGGATGAAAAATCTGGATCCATCACTAGAGAGTTTAGTATGTTTGCTTTCACATATTTATAAATTCCTGTTCAGTCTGTTTTACCTTTATAGTGCTTGACTTTATTACATCTTTCTCAGTCTTTTTCTTAAGATATTCATAATCGCGTCTGTGGTTGTGGCCTGTGTTACTGCACGTAACTGTTTAATGTCCAAAATAAATAAATAAATAATGCAAATTTTCTAACTTGTCTCTGTTGTGCTTTTTATCCTTCTGTTATTAGGTCCAATCCAGTGTACCACAAACTCAGATACTTTTCTCACTTTCAGTCCTTTTACTGCACTCTGAGTACTTTAACCACGCAGTTATAATTCAATAATTGTGAGTGAGATCAGACAAGAAGCAGCATGAGACGTCTTTGCACAGCTATTTATTAACTTTGGTAAATAATAGATGCTATATTCACAAATGTGAAAAAAGTGTGTGATGCGGATTTTCACCTGCTATTTCATTAAAAATGGCCACGAGATGGCGCTTTACATTTAAGATTATAACCGCTTGTCTCGTTAATTTAATTTGACTTGAATCTCTTTCCACTTCTGTCAAACCACCAAACAAAAATATATTTTAGTCCCCTGACTAAAATAGTGAATGATTAAATGAAGCCTTTTCCCTTCCCTGTTGTTTTGTAGAGATTAGTTCAGTCATCACATCTGTAAATTTCTGTCAGAGACAAACTCAGACTGTGCTGAGAGAAGATGTCGAATTCAGCTAGTGCAGTCTAAACACGTCCTTTGAGAGGAATAAACTGTTTCCCCCCTTTTTCTAGGGTGCTCCTTTTCCAGCTTTACATATACAGAGATGAAACTGCAACAGACTTGTGCAGACTGGTGCTTCATTGTGGCGTGAAGCACCAGTTTATGTTGACTTTAACAGTTAAATCGCTTGTCCGGTGTAGTGTAAATCAGAAGTTGACTTATTTCTAACAGTTTGTTTCACATGTATTTCGGAATCTGATCGAGCTGCTATATTTGAACCATTTCTGTGGAAATGGTTGATTCTCCTCAGCAAGGTGAGAATGGATCACAGAAATTATTTCCTTTCTATAATATCTGTGATTTTTTTTATTATTAATTTCTCAAGAGTTTGTATCCTGCTGTTATGTCTGTGCTAACATGTGCACAGCCTTTCTCTCATTATAGAGAAGAAAATTGCCCCTGTTGATATGATAGAGTATCACTACATTTATTAACAAACACAAATGTAACCAAATCAGATAATTATATATGTCCACGGGCCAGACAAACTAATGTTTTGTGCCAGAACAAAACCCTCTTTGGTGGATAAAAGGTTGCCGTCGGGTTTTGGTGTGGATATTTTTTTGGAAAGGAGTTTCCCTGGAATCACCTGCATATTAATTCACCTCCATATTTCTGTGCTTTCGTCTGGAGGTGGTATTGCTTGTTTGATTACATTCATACTCTTCTTACAGCCCACACTGCAAACGCCGCTGCGATATTTTCTGTCTATGTGCCACGGCCTACAATACCTCCCTGAGGCCCGTATAATTGCCAGCCTGCTACGCACATGGTAACTATTGTTACCAGGAGAAGTTATCAACCTGTGAAGTGTAAGTGATTTGTGGCTTAGCTAGCCCTGGCTTTGGACTTTGTATTTTATCCCTTTGGGACACTGAATTATTTTATCCCTCCATTTTTATATGCCCAGCAGAGATTATTTCCCGTTCTTGACTAACAAATTATGTTTTAGAACTTGAGTGGTTCCCATCTGTTAAGTAAAAGTATTTGTTGGCACCTTATTTGAATGTGTTATGTTTTGCTTGTTTACTGGCGGTCTTTTCAAAAGGTAATTTTCATTCCATTACAAAGTTATGCTGTTGAATCATTACGATCGCTTTCCAGAACAATATTTTAATTTGGAATCCAAAAGGCCTCTTCAGTTTTAGTTGACCTATGGGAAACCTTTGAAAATTCAGAACTTGTAATATTTAATAAACGAATAATAATAATAATAATAATTATGGATTGCATTTATATAGCGCTTTACAATTCCACTATTCATTCACTCTCACATTCACACACTGGTGGAGGCAGCTACAGTTGTAGCCACAGCTGCCCTGGGGCAGACTGACAGAAGCGAGGCTGCCTTATCGCGCCATCGGCCCCTCTGGCCATCACCAGTAGGCGGTAGGTATGTTTCTTGCCCAAGGACAACGACAGCTAAAATAGATACACCTTTTTTATATGTATTAAAAACAAACAAACAAACAAAAAAAGAACTTTTGTAATGTTACAGATTCCCTCCTGGTTGCTAGACTTCGTTTTGACGTTTATTTAAATAACTTATTTACCGATTGAAAATATAATGACAGCAATATTATTTCATGTTCGAAATATTTTTTAGATTAAATATTAAATTCACAAAAAAATCCTCTTTATGGAGTAAGCATGTTTTCCATGGCTACTTCAAAAAAACCAAACAAACAAACCAAGCTTGAAGTCATGAGCAGGAGTTCATAATAAGTGATGACAGCAGTGTACGCAGAATCTGCCGTTATAGTTAAGAATGGCACCGCATAAGATAAACTTATGCAACTTTTTTTTTTTTTTTTTGGTGGGGGATGTCACAGCAGATAGTACAAGAAGAAAGTCGAGTCTACGGTAGTGCAAAGTCCACGCTGTGTGTAGACGGTTACGTCTTTTCATTGGCCCGGAGTCTACGGTGAGCATAGACACTGTAGACTCGGGCCGATAGGAGCGCCGAATCCCACTGTAGACTCGAGACGATAGGAGCGCCGAATCCCACTGTAGACGACCAATCGTCTGTTCGGCGGAAGTTGCGTCACCAAAACAACAACAACACGCAGCGGAGGAGCGAAGAAGCCGGAAAGTCCGCTATTTTTTTTTAATGGAAACTGGCATTTCTTCTGTGTTTACCTTGGATTTAGCGGAAATTACACGACGCTGAATAACGCGTTTTTCTTTGTGGTAAATGTTAGCCGCGCGCTATGACATCTAATGTATTACGCTCATTTCTAGTCTTTTCAGTGGCTACAGCTGCTTTCCGTGGCTCGTTACAAACGATCTGAGATATATGAAGTAGTAAGTGTATTTAATGTCATACTAGGCAGATTTACTGCACTGCCATTTACTACACATTTACCCGTGTTTGGCTATTGTCTGTACATCTCGCTCGTTGTAAACTTTCTTTAAGTATGTGTAACATTCACAATTATATTGTTGATGGTAACGTGTATGATTCCAGCCTACCTGATGGGCACTTTTGACTTTTTGTAGTTCAGTTCAGTGATTGACTATCCTGCAGTGCTGTTTTCCTGTATTCATCCACTCATCTCTACATTTACAGAATAAATAAGTTAGTGTATTTCCTAAAAATTTCGTTCCTGCTGTTCTTTTGTTTTGTTTTGCACAAAAGGGAAATGCAATGAGGAGCGTTGTCATGAAGCTTTTCCTCAAGCTGCCTCCACTGAGTGAGCAGCGGCGCCCTCTGCAGTTTGTGTGTGGGAGTGCAAAAGCTTACAGCACCTGGTATTCCCAGGCGGTCTCCCATCCAAGTACTGACCAGGCCCGACCCTGCTTAGCTTCCGAGATCAGACGAGATCGGGCGTGTTCAGGGTGGTATGGCCGTAAGCGAGGGAAACCCGCTATAAAAGACCTTTTATACTTGGCAAATGTCACGCACTTTAAAATATAGGATTGTACTAAGCTTCACATGTTACAGCGAAAACATGCAAACCTTTGTTGTGAACTGCAGCTTCAACACTGAGCTGCAAAAATGCTTTTCCCGCGGTAACGTCACCATAATAACACATGTTACTTTCTCACAGCACAGTGTTAAAGTGACACAGAGCACACAGTGTGTTAGGACCATTTGGAAGTCCAGCATTTTTGTGCTTTCGACAATTCAACTTATATACAGGACATAAAAACCTAAGCATGACTGCGTCATCACAGCATGTATAAAGAGGCTGTTTGTCAAGCAGTCCCTCGCTTACGGCCACACCACCCTGAACGCGCCCGATCTCGTCTGATCTCGGAAGCCAAGCTGGGTCGGCCCTGGTCAGTACTTGGATGGGAGACTGCCTGGGAATACCAGGTGCCGTAAGCTTTTGCATTTCAACACACAAATGACAGTTTAAATAGTGAAACGGATCTGAGGCACTCTTTAAGCTCATTTTCCAATAGGATGGTTAGTGAGTCTTGCGCAAAGAGCTCTTCCACTCATGTAGTAATGTCAAATTCTTCAAGCGTTACATCAATATCACTGTACATGCACAGAGCACCTGTAGATGTTTTTGTGCAAACACTCACAATTGTTTATGACGTGAATATTGCAGCATTAAGTATGCATGTGTAACCGAGGACAAGGGATGAGTAAACGGGGCAAAGAAATAATTGATCATTTATTTATTACATAAGTTAAACATACAAATTCCCAGTCGTTTCCAGACAGGACTTACAACACATCCTGCCGATATCCCAGCTGCACATGAGACTTACCACACAAACTGTGCGAAATAACACTACAACCCGTCACACCCCGCTTAGTGACACTGCAATCGTGGCACACACTGCAAACAATTCGGGTCTCAGCGCAGCTGGGAATCAGTGCTATGTATGGCCTGTGATCTGAGAGATAAAGGGAAGTGGCACAAACAATTAAAATAAAAAAAACAAAAGAGAGGTTAGTCCGCCCTTACAAAACTTACTCTCAATCAATAACCGCCTCTACGGCTGGACGGACTAACCAAAACAAAATTACAAATCAATCAAAAGAACAAAAAAAAGGACAGCAGAGACAGCACAGAATATTGATCAGTTTCCCTGCGCGCAGTCGATCTAGGGCTTGATCAATTCTTCTATTAAAATTCGTGGTCACACGACAGTATACCCACTCGCACCTGAGTGAATTAATTGCCTCTGGTTTTTTCCACAGAAGAGCGCTGACTTCACCCCACACACCCACTACCTTTTCACAGCTCTTCAGCCAATCACCTGGCAGAGAGCAACAAACTGCCAGGTGACACTTGTTACAACCCTCCCCTTCAAAGGGCATCGGCGACCCGACGATGAGCTGAAAAGAGAGCACACTTAAAATTTTGCTCATTTTATAATGGATTGTGGCAATTTAAATGGGTTTGAGTGCTGTCCAGCAGTCTTCCTCATTGACCTACGAGACCCTTGCGTC